TTAAACTCACCGCAAATTAGTGGATTATTACCTTCGTTGTTTAGCAGGGAAACTCAAAAACTTGAAAATAAGACAGGCAGTGATCGAAAGAAAAAACATTAAGGGGATGATTCATGGCATGGAATAAAATTCTAGAGGTAAATAAGTCCCTAAAATGAACAGCTATGTAAGTGTTTACCATTTGATGCTGACTGAATTAGTTTTAATGGACTTGTAGAATTATGGTCTGCCATGATATTAGTACCACTCTAATAATAGACTTAGTCATAAAATTGTAGACTTGTCGTGATGTAACTGTCTAATTTATAGGATCTTACGTGGAAGTGACATCATCGTCTACACCAACTCACTGTATCGTAACAATCACCAATATATGATGGAGCACATATTCAGGCTAGAGATAGAACAATATATTTAATATGAGTAAAAACAAGTTGTACAGAGCGACCACGCCTGCGAGGCTGAGCCATGCCGTCCGATCAGTTGGAATTAATTGGGTTTCTTCTTCCCGTCCTCCTCATCGTTGTGTTTTTCCCCGCGTTAAATGTTGAATATTTATTTTCCAAATTTTCTCGTGTTCATCTTTAAGGATTGTGTGGTTATGGTTCAATGACATTACAGACTCTCTGTCGCTTATCCGCACCAGATCACGAGTGGCTACGCCGTGCTGTGCATCCCTTTCAACTATTAACCAATTTATATCAGACGTTCCTCAACATACCGATAGCCTTCGAAATACATCTTCGAACTCCTTCATTCCTGACTTCTGGTATGACCGGGTTGGCACGTTTCGATTATAAAAGGTGTTACTGATTAAGTTTTTGCCAACCTCTGAATATATACGGCATCTTTAGAGCGAAATATTAATCGAAGAAACAAAGTGAAGAATTAAATCAACTAAACTATCCAACCCTCGCTTACATTAATTGTCAGCCTACGTTTATTTACGTCAATGAGGGACAGTATTTGTTTGTGGGTGATGTTTTAACAAGTTTATCTCACTGAATCATGTAGTCATTAATATTCTTAACACTTCACCCTCTATATACACACCCTTCTTATAAACCGCTTTCCTTGTGCCAGCCTTGACTTCTTTCCCTTCGTGTAAGCTTACTCCAACTTGTTAAACATCACAACTCATTGTTCTTTATTAGTACATTCTCTAATATGGGGCCTCTGACTTCATTTCACTAGCAAGACATAATATGAATTTATTCTAATTTATTATACCTCTGTCCATTCTACTACACAATGTTAAGCAACGTTTGGCGTTCATATCCAAGTGCCTTGCTGCTCTTCTGTTTCTCTTTTCTTCTTCTTCAGAATCTTGCTCTGAGAGCACAGCTATGAAACTTCTGACGTTTGGAACAAACTTGATGTATGCGCCCTCTCAAGGTCATAGTTTACAGCAAGCACTCTACAATTTCACTTTATAACAACTATGAACTTAATAATTTGGGAAACATTTTGTGAACCAACAAATTTTGTAATTTATAGATCATGCCTGTAAAAACGGTATGTACTTGCACATGCAGAAATATATTATTAATTAATTAATTAAATGCCATCAAAGCTTATTAATAAACTACAATAGTTAATAATAATCGTAGTTTCGACAATGTCATAAGAAGACGAAAATTATCAGAACGCATTACATTTCGAACAATCTGATCACACATATACTTTTTTACAGCATTTATATATAAAAATAGAAGGTCATCTAAACTGAAAATGGGGTAAAAGATAAGGATGATAATAAGAGTAATAATAGCAATGTGAACACAATTCGAAACCTAATCACTCTTGATAATAAGTCAATATTACCAGGGTAAGGTTAAGATGAGGGCAAACTGTTTTTGAATAAACAAAGTGGGTTTGAATTTTCGTATGTCTAACGCTTCAATAAACCTTAGTATACGCCCTTTTACATTCACTGACACATGAATGAAGGTTATAATGGGGTCGTGGAGGAATTCAGAAGTCGTTCAGATGTTTTCCTAACTCGTATTGCATGTAGATAAACAGGGAACGGAATTAACATGACATACATTCAATAAAAAGTCCGAATCATGGTGTGAGATAACAGTAAGTGCAAACTGGATAGCAAATATTAGTAAAAATGGTAATCTCCAATGTGACTAACGTTTATAAGGTGAAGAAAACGTGATCACTTCTTAAAAGGCTTATGCAGTAGGTATAGTATCTAGTATCAAGTAACATATTACGTACGATAATAAGACAGTGTTTAGCTAAAACCTGGATCGGTTGTTTGTGTACACGCAATACATCTTTCCTAGTATTGACTAACAACGCATAAATATACACAATTTTGACTACAGCTTAAAGAGTGGTAAAATGTATGAGTGCTGCATGAATAAATAACCACGACATGTTATTAAGCACCATAAACGTGGTGGAAAACTGTTAAATGTGACTGCGAAACTCGCCTTCACTTTCACCTTTATGCAATAATAATAATATATTTCTGCATGAGCAGGTAGACGCCAACTCTGCCTGTAGCTCTCCTAGAGTTACTGCCGGTCCCAAGCCTGGGTAAAGAAGGAGGGTTAGGCATGGGGTTAGCGTCTCTATCCCGTAGAAAACTAACTCGCTAAAAAAACGCTAACTAGAAAAAATAATTCAAACCATTTAAACTCTGTCCTAGGAGTTAGAAGGTCTTCATTTATAAGAATTGTGACGCTTCATGGTGAAAGCCTAGTTCCTTCGGAAGTCACGAAGCCGATGCCCCTTGTAACAACCAGAGAAACAATTTTTATAGGTACACGGAATATCCGAACAATGTGGGAAACCGGGAAGACCAGTCAAATAGCAACGGAAATGAGGAGATACAATTTGGCAGTACTGGGAATCAGCGAAACCCATTGAACCCATGCTGGACAACAAAGGCTAAATACGGGAGAGATGCTGCTCTAATCCGGCCACGAAGAGGAAAATGCTCCACACACTCAAGGAGTAGCTCTAATGCTGTCCAAAGTAGCACGAAATGCACTTGTAGGATGGGAATCTCACTGATCCAGAATCATCAAAGCATCATTCAAAACAAAGAAGGAGGGGATCACAATGAATATTATCCAATGTTATGCACCCACAAATGATAGCAACGACGACAATAAAGATCAGTTCTACGAGCGGCTGCAGTCAGTCATTGAGAAATGCCCAAGAAAGGACCTAACTATTCTGATGGGAGATCTAAATGCCAATGTCCGAATAGACAACACTGGATATGAAGATATTATGGGACGAAATGGACTGGGAGAGAGAAACGTAAATGGAGAAAGATTTGCAAATCTGTGTACATTCAACAAGTTGGTCATAGGGGGCACAATATTTCCACACAAGCGTATACACAAGGCTACATTGATCTCACCGGACCACACTACACAGAACCAAATAGATCATATTTGCATCAACAAAAAATTCCGAAGGACAATGGAAGATGTGAGAAACAAGAGAGGAGCTGACATAGCTTCAGATCACCACCTAGTTGTGACCAATTTAAAACTGAAGCTAAAGAAGAACTGGACAAGTGGACAAACAGTACTACAAAGGTTCAATACAGCCTTCCTTCGAGATACTGACAAACTCAGTGAATTCAAGATAGCTCTCAACAACAGGTTCCAAGCCTTACAGGATCTACTGAAGGACGAAGAAACTAGTATGGAGGACAACTGGAAAGGTATCAAAGAAGCATTAACTTCAACGTGTCAAGAGGTTCTGGGTTTTAAGAAGCACCATCATAAGGAATGGATCCCCATAGAAACACTGGACAGGATCAAAGAAAGGAAGAACAAGAAGACAACAATTGACAACAGCCGAACACGAGCAGAGAAAGTCCAAGCACAAGCTGAGTACATAGAAGCAAACAAGCAAGTGAAGAAGAGCATTAGAGCCGACAAGTAGAAATACGTGGAAGAACTAGCAACGATGGCTGAAAAAGCTGCAAGAGAAGGAGATATGAAACAGCTTCACGATACAACGAAAAAACTAGCAGGGAAATACAGTAAACCAGAGAGACCGGTCAAAGACAAAGAAGGCAAGCCAATCACCCAAATTCAACAACAGCGGAACAGATGGGTAGAGTACTTCGAGGAACTCCTAAATAAGCCGGCTCCAATGAGGGGGACCAGAGAACACACGGAGTCGAGAATTGGAAACAGCTATGAAAAGGATGATTGCCAAGTGGGAACAACTGTGGGGAATTTTCCGGGACATTTTTACGGAGAATTCTAATGAGCGGTCTATGCTCCTCCACGAGAGGCAACCAGCGTATGTCGTCAGGAGTTCGCATCCGAGACGTAAATACTATAATTGGTAAAGGTTTAGTGATTCGATGAGCTAATCAAGTGTCTTGAATGTGAGTACCGAAAATGATTTCGTGTCGCACATTTAGATGCGTTCCTGCGTAATCTTATCCCTTCGTAGTGAGGGAGGGGTCTAGTAAAACTATTGAAGAAAGTCTGTTTTTATTTAGCGAACTTTTAAGTCGAGTCAGATCATCGTGAAGTGTCAGCTTAGCATCTTGGTTTTGAACTTATTTCTAAAGTTTAAAATCGTTCACAGAAAGTAATAGCTCAGAAGGTAATTCCTGAGGAAGATCGTTTATATAAACTAAAAAGAGAAGAGGCTGTAGTGTTGAAACAACGAAGAACTCACAAGACATGACGTAACCTAGGAAAAAATGAAGTTTACCCTGACATGAAAAGCCGATTAATTGAATATGAGGTAACTCAATCCACCACTATGATTAGTAAACAGATTATATACCATTTTCAACAACTTGGATACAGATTGTGATGAACTAAATGTACGGTTCTTTCACTCAACATAGTTGTATAAAAAGATTAGATGTTTGTGAAAAAATAATCGAATACAGAGGCAAACCTTATCATTTCCCCAGAACCTTTGAAATAATGTTTTGATATTTCTCTCCACATAAAATTGACTCTTATTAATTCATGTGCGCCTTGTTTTGTTGTGTCATTTTTCTAAATGGCAGCGTTTTAGAGGTATCGGATTTTGATATATCGCTGGGTGGTTGTGATCTGGTTTTAAAAGTAATAACGTAAGCGGGCTAGTTTTAGTCCTTACATAAGTTGAATGTCGATAAAGTTGTTATTAAATTCCAGAAATATGTACGATAAGGGATATTTACTTCAGAGTTGTTTCTTTAAATTTCACTCAAATCTCTGGCAAAAGATATATCTCCTCAGTTTCTCTGTTGGCTTTGTGTCATGATTCTAATTTATAGTCTTTGCAGAGTTTTTAAACTGGTCACACTTTTTTGTTGCATTTTTCTGTATTTTGTATTTATCAATGGTTTTTCAATTTCTAGCCAGCACCCCACTAGCCAGTAACGGGACCTTTGAGATAATAAAAGAAAAAAAGTCTTTTCCACTTGTGACGTAAATTTTGTCGATGTATTCCCTTTTCACCCAGGTGGTAAACAATTTGAGTAGTGTCTCTGAATAGTGGAAATTCCTAGACAAACTGGTGAAATACGTCTTACGCTTAAGAACTCTGTCTTGTGAGATTAAGGAAAGATGACAATTCATTGTGTTAACTTACCGTTGATATTACTTAATGAGTAACATCGGGACACCAACTGAGTGGTGTACTGTCAATGGTTTATCTTCAATCATTAGAATACGGCTTTAGTTCGTTAGATCACACGTCCCCTGTGATTTTTTCCTTAAAGTCTTTTTGAAGACTGGGAAGACGGGTATTTATTTTTGTTTCTGTTTAAATGTTTGTGCGGGTCTGTGTAGCAAGGCACAACACCCGAATCAATTATTTGAAATTTCACGACCAGTACAAATCTTATTAATTTCCTGTCACACTATTCTAGTACATGGTCTTGGGCTAGCTTACGCTTATATCAGGCTCTACGTTGATTATGACTAACGAGACCTTTAGTAAGTATCCAGATGTGTCGTTTCTTGGTTTTGGCGGTTGTATTCGCTTCCCAAATATAATATTGAGCCAAAGTACACGGCGACATTCATCCAGGTGATAAATATTAAAACGTCAGATGTCTCATAATAACCGGTGAAGTAGTCGTTTATTTTCAATCCAGGAGATTAGATCGAGCAGATCACTCTAAGGAATAGTTCAACTGGCTCAAAGTTACCCACTATTCCCGAACAATCTCAGCTAAAAGTTGACCCGTCCTCCATATCTCTGAAGTCAAATAGGCTATAGGCGATATCAACTAAGAGAGAACATCGGGACCTAATGAATTAAGCCCGAAAACACTCGAGGGTTGTGGTCCCGTCTTATAAGCTGAGTTGACTGGTACTGGCTAAAGTTCGACATATGAGCGTAATTCTATTTTTTCTGGTTTCGACTGCTAATCGCCTGTTTATGAGAAAGAATGCATATCCTTTAGTGATAACCACAAAATAATCAGTTTGACTAATTGTTCAAAATATTAGCTTCGATAATCATCCGACGTCTAGCCAGAGTTCGAGAAATACTACGATTGTGTGGCGTTTGAATGTGTGTAAATGTCATAGGACCTGACGTAGTGTGAATAACTGGTCTATACAACCACGTCCAGGTCGAAAACCAGCTTGATTTTTTCTAGTCTGCTCTTCACGAGCTTTGATTAGGCGTCGAAGTATTATTGAAGCTATTATTTTAAACACTATATTAGTCAAACTGATTCCCCTGTGATTGTCACAAGAGGACTTGTCCTTTCTTATATGCTGGGACAATCAGTGATTGAGACCAGTCAGATGGGATTGCGTCCAGTTCCCGAATTTTACCTAAGACCTCAGTTAATCGCACTGCTAATGCTGAACCACCATCCTTAAAAATCTCAGGAGTGAACCTGTCAGGGCCTGCTGCTCTCCCTCGCTTCAGATTTCCTATGGCTTTTTCAACTTCGTAAAGGGACGGAGGACTTACATTAACTTGCCATTCAGGTTGACTGGAGATCGTGGGGAACCAAAGTGTGGCTGAAGGTCAATTGAACTGATCCCTAAAGTATTCTGCCCATCGATCCAATCTCCTGGATTGAGAATGTATATTATGTCCATCTTTCTCTGAGATTGTTTCTCACTATCATTGCTACTACGTTATTCCTATATATTCTAAAATTCGTCTTATTTATTTCATTTTGCGCTAATGGGTTGTGACAAAAGCACTTACATGTCAGGCTCGACGTTGATGACTTATATCTATCAGTCGTCTAATTTGATAATCGTGTACCACATAATGCACGGTAGTATTTTCTGAGTCTATTCCCAAGTCTAAGTATTCATTATATGCAATGAATTATTGACCACATAAATCATACGTCTAAGCCTACTTTATTCCTGTGTAAACGGTCTGTATCGCCTAGCGTGTAAACCAACCTAACATAGACGTATGTTAATTGTAGTAAGTCTCATGGTTTATTTATTTTCCAGACAGGTCACTTTAGCAAGAGATACCAGTCTGATAACCTTTTTTAACCCACCCGTAAGTTTAGGTGGTTTTCATCTGACACCGTGAAGTATTTAACCAGAAATTGGTAAGTAAAGGTCCTTAGAATGTGAATTTTAAAAACTAGGAACACTAAATAGACATGTTTTCAGTAGTCTGACGTATGACCTATCAGTTACATGTAAAAGTTTCCCATAGGGACAATAAACCAAAATGATTTTCGCCACTGTGATTTCGAAAATAAGTCTTGATTGATATGAAGTTGATGTTGTAAGGATTTTCACTATACGATGTGGTTATCACTTGGTGATCTTGGTGCTTGGTCATCTAAGTCATTATTGGCCTAAATCATGACCAAGACATTCATGTAGTTTATCGTTAATAGGAGCAAGAGTAGATTACAACAAGCTATTTGAGTATATTTATTCAGTCTTGTTCAACATAAGCGTGTGGGTCCTTGGAAGAACTATGGCCACCATTATGAAACATCCAAACTACTTACGGCTAATTGTATGCCGATTTAAACTGTCGCGCCACATCCGACTAAAGTGGGCGAAACAAAATTTTAACCTGCGAACCAATTTTCGAAAGTTAACTGCTTTAACGATTATACTCCGATTTTATGGCGCCGAATTCCTCAATACACAAACATTTTTGGTTGAAAACTGACAACCTACGAAGGTCGTCCATTTTCATAGGTCATATTTCTCAGGTGTGTAGCAAAATGATACATACTACTCTCCGTTTGATGGACAGTCAGACTTATCTGTATCAAATATGGTGCTATTTAATAAAAGACAAGCGAGATTTTCGTATGTGCCAAGACTTTGTCAGTAATTGAAACACCAGGGATGATTAGACCTTCAAGATGATTATTTCATTCACAACGGTCAAACTGGGAATTGATACTGATCAATTTTATAGTTTTTGTATATAGGAAAAAGGATTCCAAGGATTATTACTTTGTTACTCAAGGCATTTAGTTGACTGCGTTCTTAGGGGCTGCTGGAGACAGGGCTGCTGTCTCCATATACTAGGTCGATAAGAGAACCACCTGGTGAGAGATCATCTTACAATCTATTATGGTCGCAGTTAATTTTCATCTTATTACATAGACAACATAAATTATGTCTACAATAATTTAGTTCTGAACGTTAAGGTATTTTTAATGGTAAATTTATCCGTGTGAATTTACGCTTATTTGTGGTAAGTACAATGTTCCTTCATTCCGGCTGAGATCAAGATTAGTTTTTTCTAACATCTGATCATATTGTTTTTTCAAATTAATGGTTATGCTCTGCACTTAAAGCCGCGCAACCCATCGAAAAGTTCGTGTCCAAGTAAGCAACATAATGGTCCGTTTCACGTAATCATCAGGTTTAATGTAAACATCAAAATGTACCTGTTATATGCGAGGAAAGATTAAATTACGGGTAACTTCCGAGGACTATTAATGGACTAATATTCTATAAATATTCTTATTGTATAACTATTCAATAATTATTCTGTTAAGTCTAATAGTGTTCTTGTAATTTAAATGAATATTTCCTATTGGTCAATATTTATTTCACTTCTCGAATATTGTACAAATGTTGTTTTCTTTTTTATGGTACGATGTGGTCTGCTTGATTGGTATATAAACAGAGTATATTTAAAATACATGATTCGATTCATATTACATTATTATCATCAGCTATATTAAATATTATATTTTTGGTACAATATAGAATTCAAAAAGTTTCCGTTTTTTTTCTTCTTGGTCGGTCCTGGCGATAAATATTGAGTGATCACCAGTTAGATGTTAGCAGTTCAGTAAATGAACATCTGAATAATGTGCATTCTTTTCGCTGTATATTGCCAGCAACCACATTGTCTCTTATTGAGTTTTCTGTAACTTTGACAACGAAAGGTTGTACACTTTTCAGAAACGCAGCAGAATAGGTTATGCGATTAATAAACATAATGATATATTAAAACAAACAAAAATAGATAACTTGTTGAAATATCTAGATGACAGGAACAGGTAGCCCAGATGCTCAAACAGGTCGTTGGGGATTGTGTTTTGGACTCAAGCAGACGGGCTAGAAGAACCTAGAACCAATAAGGCGCTAAACTGCCCGCACCAGTTGAACGTCATTGGTTGGCCTAGTGTGAAGATTCGTATGAGTCGTATTCGGATTGGTGGATGATTCGTGTAATAGAAAAGCCAGACACCGAAGGTCATAACAGTACCAGAAATTTATGCCAGTATATCATAGCCCTTTCCTCAAATGTTAACTAATCCATCTCTTAGCACTAAATTTTCAAACAGAATTTCAAGTATGTTTACTAGCTAACATAATTTTCCTTGTTAATTTATTTTAATGTTTTGATTCGTTCTAGATATGGGATCTTCTGAAGCCAGCACACGTCGTCGAGTAAAGCTGTACATGTTGAATGATGAACGACAATGGGATGATAAGGGCACTGGTCACGTGTCAGCATTGTATACTGAGCAGGAGAACATGGCCCTAGTAGTAATTTCAGAGACAGATGGGTCTTATCTTCTTGAGTCAAAAATACAGCCAGATACAGCGTATCAAAAGCAGCAAGAAACACTAATTGTCTGGTCAGAAGGTGAAAATATGGATTTAGCTCTATCTTTCCAAGAAAAAGTTGGTTGTGATGATGTATGGGAAAAAATTTGTGCTGTACAAGGAAAGGATCCATCGGTAGAGATTACCCAAGAGGTTGTTGACGAGTCAGATGATGTTGATGACACAGATGGGTATACACCGACAATGATGCAAAGTATTCAACCTCTTAGTCTTCCACCTTGTGAACTGAGCCGTCTTGAAGAAGTTGTTGACCTAGTTAGTCAAGCTGTCGCATCACCTCCGAAACGCGAGCGATTGGTGGCCTTTTTAGAGTCAACTAATTATCTCCATCAGTTAGTCGATGTCTTTCACAAAGCAGAAGATCTGGAAGATATGGAATCGTTGCATCATCTTTACGAAATAATGCGACAACTTATATTGGTAAACAAACATAGCCTTTATGAAAGTTTATTCGCTGATGATATGCTGTTGGATGTGATTGGTATTTTGGAATACAATCCTTCTGGGCGCACTAAACATCGTGATTTTCTCAGAAATAAGGCTACTTTCAAAGAAGTTTTGCCTTTGCATAATACAGATTTAGTGACAAAAATACATCAAACATATCGCGTTCAGTACATACAAGATTGCTGTCTCCCACCTCCTTGTTTATTCGACGAACACACTCTTTCCCAACTTAAAGCATTTGTTTCTATAAACAAGATGGAGATTATTCGGGCTCTTCAAGAAGATGAAGAGTTTATGTGTCGACTTTTTACACGTTTGAAAGCGGCGGATACAGATCTAACTCATCGCAGAGACCTATCGCTCTTTGTAAAGGAATTTTGTAATATTTCTATCCAAACAGATCAGAAAGAAAGTTTTCTAAGTTGTTTACTTCAACATGGAGCACTAAGAACAGCTGAAGTACTCCTCGCAATTGATGATAGAGATATAAAGTCAGCGGCTCTTGAAATTCTCCAGGCATTTATTGAGCACCAGCCTTCTGTTGTGCGTGAATATGTCTTCAGAGAAACTGCTCCGTTCCGAAAAGACGATGAATTACTCATTAATCTTATGATAAGTCAATTACTCACTGATCCAGATCCAGGTAGGTTCGTCTATAGATTAATATTCAAGACACTTTTTGTAGAACTTAGTGATGCTTTCCTTTTGGGTTACATGTTGCGCATTCTTATCGATCCAGACAATATGAACAATTCCGGTGTCGTAAGTCATTTTTTACCATGTATATTTGTGCATGTATTTGATTGTCATCAAATTACTGTTTAGATTAGAATTCCCAGTAGTCTAACCTATAAGATCTCATCTACTTTGGTTATCATTACTTTTCTTAGGTTACATTAACCTATGAGTCCTACTTGGGATGCTCTTATTCTGTTTACCACTGGTCCTTAATCACTAAATTATTCTCTCGTCTTAGTCGTTCATTTAATTTATACTGCTTTTTGATTGAGTGGTTACATCAGTAATTAAGTCATATAGTCGTATCTCGTTTGGGTACATTGATTCAACAACACGAATCAGTATGTAACACCTCAATAAAGCAAGGTACACCACTGGTCGAGTTTAAGCTAGAAGTTAAGTAAAATAAGTATACTTTACTAGAAGCTTACTGCATCAATATGAATAGTATTTTTGCCTGTTATTTTGCTTTTAACAAAGTTGTGTTTCTGACTCCTAGCCAATACCTTATTCTTCTGTTACATGCTGATACACAACTGAAAAAGTTGTCGACAGACTGAAGACTAGCAGATTGTAAGTTTTCTCACATTACGTAGCTTATGTCTTACAGGAAATATCTTTGCAGGATAGCTTGATTTATAGTAAGTTATATCGTATAAGCATTGTGTGAAAAACACACCTAAATTTCTTGTTTTTTTCCACTTCGTTTTCATCTGACTTATAAAAGTGCTGTTCCTCGCAGACACATGGTACCCTAGTTTGTCATCTATATTAACTAGGGGTGATTTATTTATTTACTTGAACACAAATATTGGTACAAGAGAGCATCCAATATATATGCGGCACACAAAACGATGAGAATTTGAAGAGAAGGAAAAAAAGGTAAGGAGCGTAAAAAAAGAGAACAATAACGAACAGATTAGTGTAAGGTAGTGTAATAGTAATAATAATGGGGGAAACGAAAAGGTACAACCAGAAGAAATCTTTCAGTTAAAGAATAAGCAAATACTTTTGATGAAGAAAGTGAAAGAAAGATACAGAAGGATCGCCACTGGCTTCTATTCTGAGCCGTATCTGATAACGTCTCTACCCTACTGTGTTGCACCATCTCTAGGACCCCAGCCAGTGACTGATATGTAGCGTGGTGAGTGTAAAGGATGGTACCAAAAAGACTGCACCGATCTAACACCTATGGCTTCGGAAAGGTTCCTAATTCCCGGATGCGTATGGTTACACTGCTTGTACGCAACGAGATTTCTATCAGAAACTAATGCAATTGCAAACGTAAATATAAAGTATGTTGACAGGCACAACTCTATCAATACACGAGTTGATGTACAATCATCTGAAACAGACTCAAAGCTATGTAGTCTATAGGGCCAGTGAAACTTTACGGCCCTTGGCAAATCGTCCGCCACTCAGGTCACTGAATAACGAGAAGTTCACCGATTCTCGTTAAATTCAAGGACAACTGACGGCCATAAAAAAACGTACGTCAATAATTGGCCCATGCAGCAGTGGTTGCATCTTATTACTTGTACATACTCTCACCAATATATTTGTTCAATAACGTCGTTTGTGTTGTACGGTCATCAAAACAGCCATAGTACCTGGATACAACAAAAAGTTAGTACACGTTAAGCACTAACCGTGAGGTGTGACTTCGATGTTTGCTGGTCCCGATGTTACCACTCCCGTCTAACTCGAGTGGGTCCCCAACCATTCGATACAGATCATCTATTTTGACGATCTATACTGATGAGCTTGATTTTGAATAACGCATCCGATTATCAATACTACCTTTGGGATTGCATTCTTAACTCATTCCTTTTCGCTTTTAACGTTGTCGCTTAATTTTACCTGGTACTGTGAACATTCGCTGCTCTTTATCAACGTCACCCAGAATTTGCACTTTGCTTACTTGCTCAGTCAAAGCGAATAACTCTTCACTTACGATTACAACCGAATATTCACAGTTCTTTACATGCATCAGCAGTATGTAGATTAACCCGTGTTACACATCCGTTATAACACCAGAAATTTAATGTAAGTATATACTGTAAATGTTCTGCCAAAAACGTTCTAGAGGATTATGGTCCCTTCAAAACTGATCATGTGTCCTCTTTCCAACGCATGTAGACAGTCAATTAGCTACAACGTAGGACCAGGCACATATATGCATCGGTCCAGGTTGCCATACCGCATCAGCACAACAAGATGAACACCAGATTCATAACAGTGGTTAGGTAAAAGGTGGTAATATACAAAAGAAAGATTGCATACAAGGATATAGTACAAGAAGAAAGAATTGGTTCGTAGAAAGAAAGATATGAAGCGATTTTAGTCTCTTAGTTTAAGGGAAGACAGAGAGTGTATACACCGACGCCATTGTGATCGATTCTGAGCCTTGCCATCAAGAGTCTCCAACCATTGGTTACGATAGTCACGCGGACCCTAACCAAGTAGTCTGCATCTCCCAACATGGCTCAGACTAGAAGTTAGTGACTTCAAGCACTGATGCCACGTTTTGGTTTGGCTGCCCCTAACTTTCTCCCAACCATCCCCAACACTAGTCAGCATTGTGCGTCGTGGTAATCGGTGTTCAGGCATACGTAACACGTGGCTTAACCATCTCAGTCGATGAAGATTCACAACCTTATCAACTGATTTACCATCATTTCCTAATACCCTGCGTCTAACCTCACTATTAATTACCCGGTTATCCCAGAAGACGCCAGCAATATTTCTAAGGTATCTGTGACCAAATACTAGTAAATCACGAGCATTTTCTACTTTTATTGACTGCGCTTCGCAGGCGTAAAGTAGAACAGAACGGATTGCTGCACAGTACACTCGTCCCTTAGTTGACAGACGGATACCTCGCCTTCGCCATAGGTGACGTAAGTTGGCAAAAGCCAAACGAGCTTTTCGAATCCGTGCAGAGATTTCGTCAGACACCAACCCATTAGGGTTGACCAGACTTCCAAGATAAGCGAAGTTGTCGACGCGTTCGACTACTTCACTCCCTATCCTTATTTCAGGTGTTGACACAGGCCAGTTCTGAAGCAACAACTTGCATTTGGAGAGGGAGAAACGCATTCCGAACATTTTGGCATTGTTGCCCAGTGCTACCAAAACACTGCATCTTATCAGTGTCTTCACTAAACAGGAATATATCATATGCGTATTCCAAGTCGATAAGTGGACCTCCTTCCAGGAGGTCAATGCCCGAAAATTCAGTCGACGAGAACGTTGTTTCCATCAGTATATCTATGATGAAATTAAACAGAAATAGAGATAGTGGGCAGACGTGACGGACAGCACTTGGGGTTACGAAATCAGATGACAGTTCGTTGGTAGTGTTCAAGTAAAGAACCTTCACAAGGTTTATGTACTTCTAAGAATCGTCTTTCAACGATAGACACTGTCACAGAACCTCTCGGTCCACAGAGTCAAATTTCGCTTTTAAGTCAAGAAAGATCACCATTGTCGGACGCCGATAAGTAGTATGCCTGTGTTCTAGAACCTGACGAGTGGTGAATATGTGATCGATGCAGATACAACAAGGTCTGAAGCCAGCTTGAGTCTGTTATGTTTGCAGTTCATGAGTCTTAGTTTGGTGTCCGATAATTATCGAGGCTAGTATTTTAGGTGCTATGGTAGTCAAGCTAATCCCTCTATGATTGTCACAGGATGATTTTAAACCTCTCTTATATATTGGGACGATATGTGATTGTGATCAGTTAGATGGTATAACGTCTAACTCCCAGGTCGTAGCTAAAATATTAGTCAACCTAATCGCTAAAATTGGACCACCATACTTAAAAACTTCTGGAGCCAATCCATCTGGACCAGCTACCCTTCTTCGTTTCAGATTAACTATAGCCTTTTGAACTTCGGCTTGAGTTCGGGGACCTACTTCAATGTTCCATTCACTCTGTCTGGGAATGGAGGGTAGTTGTAGAGTAGTTGAATGCCAGCTGAAATGTTCCACCCATTGTTCTACACGTCTGGACTGGGAGTAGATGAGAGTGTCGTCTTTTTCCGAAATAATCTCACTTACAGTTGACTTATTAGTTCCAGTTTCTTTTATTAGTCTGTAGAGCTGTCTTGTGTTCCATATAGGCGCCGCCTTTTCCATCTCTTTTGTTTTCGTTGTCCACCACTGCTCACGGTCGTTCCTTAGACTTTTGGTTAACCTAGATCTGATTTGTTTTCGCTTTTCATCGTGTTCAGAGCGTGATGGGATGAGTTTACGAGAATCCATCAGTACAATAGATCTTGAGGAAATCCATTGGTTCTTTGTAACCTTGTGGTTTAAATCACTGATAGACGTCACTGCTGTTTCCACAGCTGTTTGTGTATCTTTCTAAGCAACATCTGGGTCAGCCTCGTCTTGAGAACTACCTTAGTGTGACCTCAGTTGTTCCTGGGACTTACTTTTGGTTTTCTCGTTACTCAACTCAGTTCTAATGGGTCTTTTTAATGTGGCATTTTTGCGTCCAGTGAGGCGCAAGCAGATGCGTGCCCGTATTAGGGCGTGGTCGGAGTCCAAGCAGGTACTCCAGAATGAGCGACAATCTATTACCGACCTTCTTCAACGATGACTGATGGCAATATGGTCTATTTGAGTCAATCGTTGGTTTGGTGTAGGGAGTCGCCATGTTAGACGACGTTTTTCCTTAAGCTTAAACTTTGTGTTTGCTCAAAATAAACGATTGTCTGAGCATAGTTGCAGCAGACGATCACTATTATCTGTTCGTTGTGCCGGAATACTGAAATACCCACCCAAATGCCTTTCTGTTTGATTTAAACTATCTATCTGGGCATTAAATTTACCAGCTACGAGTATTATGTCTGAACGTTTAGCTTTCTGAAGAAGTTCAGATAGCTTTCTGTAAAATTCATCTTTCACTTCATCCGAGCTTCAGTCGGTGGGAGCGTAGGCAGTATTATAACTTGTGTCTGCAGATTAGAGGACAGCGTATTATCGATCGGACCAAAGACGCGTAAACACGTAAGAACGGTCTGAAGTTCTGATTGGTCCCGCTTCCCTCTCTAGCCCAGCCAGTTGACTCCAGAACGCAAGTCTCAGCCTCTGAGATATGAATCATTATATTTCAAGCATACTGAGTTTATATACCAAACAAACCGACCACAATGTACCAATAAAATATGAAACAACATTTGTACAAGAACTAGCCAGAAGTGGCTGTGAATGAGGGAAGTAGTAATCAATATACTGGGTATAACTCAAGAATGGTAAAACGTATAATAATGGTTCATAGGTCAAAAAAAAGCTCATAATAAGAGGGGCATGAATATGAAAAATTTAGTTACATAACAATTATACGATAAAAATATACCCATAATATTAGTCCATAAATGGATCCCAAAAATTACGATTCATTATTCTTATCGGAATACAACAGGCGGAAACGACAAAAAGGTAACGACGTGTGTCCCTATCCTTCCTAGTTCCTACAGTGTCGTTTAGACGAACAGTACATAAACGACTGTTAACGGGGATCCGCTCTAACAGTGCTTGTTCCGCCCTCATGCTTGGCGCTATGCCTACACCTGCCAGTCCACGAGAACTGGCCATCGGGTCACCAAATACACGGAGGGTGTATCTCGTCGACTCTCCGTTTTGCCGAGGTGAGTTGAAGTGAATGACTACACTGGTATCCTGTATGCGTGTTTCAGAGACACAGCATACATCAATGGTACGAGATTCTGGGGTTCTAGCCAGGGAAATCTGCTGACCGATTTGACATAGGGTGAGTACGTTGAAGGCTCCAATGTGTAGTTTGAAACGAGGTTTCAGTAGACCTGGGACAGTGTTTCGCGCACTAGAATTGTTGGCTATGGTGACATTTGAGGGGAAGCCGAAAGAGGAAGTTTAGAGGTGAAAGTTGATGTAGGAGAATGTCACAATCTTTTTCTTACGGTGTGACCCAGCTATTCCTATTGCTTAGCATTCTTTGACACTAAGTCACTCGACAAGTCCCCAAATCAGAACACGGTTGAACAGGAAAGAGATTATATTCCAAATAACAAGGTTAGATGGAAGCAAAAAGCAAGTAAGAAGCACAATAGGGAAAACGTTAGTACATTTATAGTTTTTACATGAGAAGATTCTAGAGTATTCCCCAACTATCGACTAGTGCTGATTGGATAAGAATTAGTCAATCAGTGTGCACCAAAGCAATCGTGCATTGAGCATGCTTTAATCCAGTCTATGTCCCGCTAACAGAGGAATAATAGGAATTGAAGAGGGAGGTTGATTATGAATACAGTGGTCTTGAGTGCAGTTAGAGGTATGAGGGCGGTTATCACTTCTCGGTTGCCCACACCGTGGAAGGGTTCTTCTGGAGGTACCTGAGAAGGAAATTGGATTAAAGGTGGTCTTAGCGACCTGGGAGCGTGACCGCAGTGCCCAAGGTACAACTGCTCGAGGTCGGTCACACACAAATATTTTTGTTGAGACCTTATCACCGAAGACGGACATCTGTGGGATAAGGCAGAGTGTGCATTTTTAGAGTGAACCTTTTCTAACCCCACCCCTCCTTGTGAGAAGGCAGCATCGATGTTATGCTGGTTGTCTGGAGGAAACACCTTACTGCCGTCATACCTCTGTACAGTCATCAGTACGACTTCGTCTTCGGACCTTGGGTTTGTTGCTTTTAGTCCTACCGCTCTTCAACCGACCTGTCTGACATGGTAGGACCTTGAGGAACAGTTGTTCCAGTCAGTATAGCTCGGTTGCTTCATCACGGCAAGCCCGACAACCACGTCAAGGTAGCAACAACAGTCGGGCGGCGAACGGAACGAAGGATCAGCAACACAACGATAAGACAAGCTAAGTTATTCCAATGCATCGTAGCCCTAATGGCTAGAGGGAGAAGTATATTGCACAAACAGCCTGAATCACGAACAAATCAAGCACACAACTCAAGCCTATATATACAGTATAAAAAGGTCTTCGAGAAACGCCGCAAAAGTGCGTATTAAAAGAGGAAACGCATCAATGAATTTTAAGATAATTCTAAATAGGAAATACAATCGTAAGGTTAAAGTAGTCGCCTTTGGCACGAAAACAAGAAATTCAAATTTTCAAAATAAAATTACAAAAATAAGACGTTTACTAAGCGTTTAATGGGGATCTAGCGTCCCCAACAGGCACCGCCGTAAGGTCAAAGGACACAACTACAGTCAGATATCGAAAATTATGTCTGTGTTTCATAATCTACCGAAGAGTGAATATTTGATCTGATACCAACCTGGTTTTTTAAACTCTAGTTGAATTGTCATAAGAGGAATTAAGTCCTTTCTTAGAGATTAGGAGGATCAGCGATTGAAAACTAATCTGATGTTATTATGTTCAGTTCCAAGATTTTTTGCTAAGTTCTCGTTTGATCTAACTTTCAACACTTCTTTTTGTTAAACTGCATGGAATCTAATATCCGTTTCAATTATATCTTAATCCTGAGAGTTCATACACTTATTGTAAATTAGCACTGCGTCGTTCAGTTAAAGTATTAAATTGTATACTCTCAGTTGTGTATAAAATTATCTTTTTTTTCCAAATTTATTTGTAAAAAAGTGATGTTTCTGTGTTCATTTTGTTGTTTTTTCTATTACAGCGTAGCGAAAAAACAGATTTTCTCAGTTTTTTCTATAAACGATGCATCAATACACTTGTTCGTCCATTATTTGATAATACGTCAAAAGATACACTGGAGAAGGGTAATGGGATATATTTCCGTTTATCATACGCTTTTTTTCTATTGTAGATGATTATCACACTGCATTAGTTTTGAACCATATAATTGAATTGCTCACGTTTTGTATTGAAACACATACATACCACATGAAGAATTACTGCTTTAATCGTGATCTTCTAAAACGTGTTCTCGTTTTATTGCTATCATCTCATAAATTCCTTGTGCTAGGTAGGTTAACTCATACACAGCATTAATCTGCTGTCTATTTTTTAGCTGCTTTACGTCTTCTAAGACGTGTTGTTCATATGAAAGAAGAATTTTATAATCGTTATTTGATCAAAAACAATCTTTTTAAACCAGTTTTGAAGCTCTTCGTTTCCAACGGATATCGTTACAACCTTTTGGACTCAGCTATTATCGAACTTTTTGACTATATTCGCTCTGAAGAAATAACTTCATTAATTACCCATATAATAGAAAATTATTGGGATATTTTGAAAAATATAAATTACGTACAAACGTTTACCGATCTAAAACGAACATACGATCACAATCATCGTTCAGTTAGGACTGTTGTTGGAACTGTGACCCAGCAAGCGACATTAGATGTGTAAGTTTTATTTGTTTGAACTTGGTAGCAGTTTGTCCGCGTTATTTCTTTTTGTTATCAGTGGGATTAAAGAATGAGGGCACTTGTTGTACAATTTCTTAAAGAAATATCCTATAACTATCAATACATATACTGTCGGGTTGAAAATCATTCATTTAAAGAGGAGTATCTACTTATTTTCAAAATTCAAATAGGTCTTGATTGCCGTTAAGTTAATTGGTGTCGTTAACCTTCATTAATGGATAGAAAGGTAATTAATCTGGATTGCTTTGTGAAAAGATATTTCTAATGTTTCTTTTATAAAATGAACTCTAATGGCTTCTAGTACAACGAAATTACCTCTATTGTCAATTTAGATCTAACTTATTTACTAACGTACCTATCAACAAAGTATGGGATATTATTTATGATTGTTTAGAATCTGACTCAGATTTGAATTTACGATGCCCGTTAGATCCTTTCGAAGTTACTAAGTGTTTTAGAATTGTATTTACGACCCACGTTATTCTCATTTCGAAGAAAGTGTGGCAATGGGTTCGCCAGTTTCTCGATTGTAGCGAATTTACGCATGCATTCCCTAGGAACCAGTGTGACCATAAGATGTGTAAATCCCCCAAAAGTCTGGTTACGGTATGCAGATGACATTTTCATTAGACGGAATGATCTCGAAGAATTGTTTGAAAATGTAAACATTTCGGAGAGCATCAAGGTAAAAATTAGCGTTTCTCGATTGTTTGGTTGAGCGAATCTACAATAATAAGATGAAAATAAATGTATTCAGGAAATCAACACATTCTTAGAGATACTTAGATTACGGTTCAGCTCGTGCGTATCGTACAACAGTCACAGTTGTACAAAATTTAATTAAAGGATTATTAATCTCATTACAGAGAAGGAAGACCAACAGGTTGAATTGAATGGAATTTTGTCTAAACTTAAAGCTAACAATTACCCCGGGTAATGTTCAAAGATTATGAAAAATGAAAGAAAAAACTAAATTAGGGAGTATACCGAAAGACTGGAAGTCTACCATGGTCATCCCATACCGTAGTGAAATATCGGAAGAAATGAAGAGGATTCTAAACAAACATGATGAGTGTATTTTCTGGCTAGTGACACCATAAGATCAACATTAGTGAGAGTTAAGGATAGATTCCATAAGGAAGAACAGAATATTGTCTATGAGATCAGCTGTGATAATTGTAATGCAGCGTATGTGGGATAAACTTCAAAATAATTGAATGTGTGGTTGAAGAAACACAACCAATTTTTGAGAAATTTTCCCAAATCTTCGGTTGATCTGAAGAAACTTGAAGTTAGATTGGCGATAGCGTTACAGGCTGGCTTCAGACCTTGTTGTATCTGCATCGATCACATATTCACCACTCGTCAGGTTCTAGAACACAGGCATACTACTTATCGGCGTCCGACAATGGTGATCTTTCTTGACTTAAAAGCGAAATTTGACTCTGTGGACCGAGAGGTTCTGTGACAGTGTCTATCGTTGAAAGACGATTCTTAGAAGTACATAAACCTTGTGAAGGTTCTTTACTTGAACACTACCAACGAACTGTCATCTGATTTCGTAACCCCAAGTGCTGTCCGTCACGTCTGCCCACTATCTCTATTTCTGTTTAATTTCATCATAGATATACTGATGGAAACAACGTTCTCGTCGACTGAATTTTCGGGCATTGACCTCCTGGAAGGAGGTCCACTTATCGACTTGGAATACGCATATGATATATTCCTGTTTAGTGAAGACACTGATAAGATGCAGTGTTTTGGTAGCACTGGGCAACAATGCCAAAATGTTCGGAATGCGTTTCTCCCTCTCCAAATGCAAGTTGTTGCTTCAGAACTGGCCTGTGTCAACACCTGAAATAAGGATAGGGAGTGAAGTAGTCGAACGCGTCGACAACTTCGCTTATCTTGGAAGTCTGGTCAACCCTAATGGGTTGGTGTCTGACGAAATCTCTGCACGGATTCGAAAAGCTCGTTTGGCTTTTGCCAACTTACGTCACCTATGGCGAAGGCGAGGTATCCGTCTGTCAACTAAGGGACGAGTGTACTGTGCAGCAATCCGTTCTGTTCTACTTTACGCCTGCGAAGCGCAGTCAATAAAAGTAGAAAATGCTCGTGATTTACTAGTATTTGGTCACAGATACCTTAGAAATATTGCTGGCGTCTTCTGGGATAACCGGGTAATTAATAGTGAGGTTAGACGCAGGGTATTAGGAAATGATGGTAAATCAGTTGATAAGGTTGTGAATCTTCATCGACTGAGATGGTTAAGCCACGTGTTACGTATGCCTGAACACCGATTACCACGACGCACAATGCTGACTAGTGTTGGGGATGGTTGGGAGAAAGTTAGGGGCAGCCAAACCAAAACGTGGCATCAGTGCTTGAAGTCACTAACTTCTAGTCTGAGCCATGTTGGGAGATGCAGACTACTTGGTTAGGGTCCGCGTGACTATCGTAACCAATGGTTGGAGACTCTTGATGGCAAGGCTCAGAATCGATCACAATGGCGTCGGTGTATACACTCTCTGTCTTCCCTTAAACTAAGAGACTAAAATCGCTTCATATCTTTCTTTCTACGAACCAATTCTTTCTTCTTGTACTATATCCTTGTATGCAATCTTTCTTTTGTATATTACCACCTTTTACCTAACCACTGTTATGAATCTGGTGTTCATCTTGTTGTGCTGATGCGGTATGGCAACCTGGACCGATGCATATATGTGCCTGGTCCTACGTTGTAGCTAATTGACTGTCTACATGCGTTGGAAAGAGGACACATGATCAGTTTTGAAGGGACCATAATCCTCTAGAACGTTTTTGGCAGAACATTTACAGTATATACTTACATTAAATTTCTGGTGTTATAACGGATGTGTAACACGGGTTAATCTACATACTGCTGATGCATGTAAAGAACTGTGAATATTCGGTTGTAATCGTAAGTGAAGAGTTATTCGCTTTGACTGAGCAAGTAAGCAAAGTGCAAATTCTGGGTGACGTTGATAAAGAGCAGCGAATGTTCACAGTACCAGGTAAAATTAAGCGACAACGTTAAAAGCGAAAAGGAATGAGTTAAGAATGCAATCCCAAAGGTAGTATTGATAATCGGATGCGTTATTCAAAATCAAGCTCATCAGTATAGATCGTCAAAATAGATGATCTGTATCGAATGGTTGGGGACCCACTCGAGTTAGACGGGAGTGGTAACATCGGGACCAGCAAACATCGAAGTCACACCTCACGGTTAGTGCTTAACGTGTACTAACTTTTTGTTGTATCCAGGTACTATGGCTGTTTTGATGACCGTACAACACAAACGACGTTATTGAACAAATATATTGGTGAGAGTATGTACAAGTAATAAGATGCAACCACTGCTGCATGGGCCAATTATTGACGTACGTTTTTTTATGGCCGTCAGTTGTCCTTGAATTTAACGAGAATCGGTGAACTTCTCGTTATTCAGTGACCTGAGTGGCGGACGATTTGCCAAGGGCCGTAAAGTTTCACTGGCCCTATAGACTACATAGCTTTGAGTCTGTTTCAGATGATTGTACATCAACTCGTGTATTGATAGAGTTGTGCCTGTCAACATACTTTATATTTACGTTTGCAATTGCATTAGTTTCTGATAGAAATCTCGTTGCGTACAAGCAGTGTAACCATACGCATCCGGGAATTAGGAACCTTTCCGAAGCCATAGGTGTTAGATCGGTGCAGTCTTTTTGGTACCATCCTTTACACTCACCACGCTACATATCATTATGTAACGGGTACATAGACATTTGAAGTCGATAATCACATTTTTGCAATGTACAGGCATCACTTAAATGTTTCACGTTACGTGAGAAGAATATTGTGAGTGTCATAATGTTCGAAAGGTTGAGAACGACATAAAAGAAGCTTTTGCTCAAGTGGCTTCTGCAATTCATGTGTCCCGGTAGCCATTTTAATGTATTCAACATTATGGGGAGAAATATTAGTAAATCAGAATGAACTCGAGTCCTTAGTCTTCAAAAATATTTCACGTTTCCTATTGAAAGACACCTAGAAGTCTTTTGATCACCTCAGACTAGAGAATTACAGAATTTGGTCATTCGTAAAATAAATGTGTGTCTACTGCTCATTTTTCTGTGGTATGTCTCTAAATATGAGGCACTGTATTTAATGTTTATGTCGAGACTGAGGTTACTTGATTATTTTAGAAGATGCTCAAGAGTGTTACTGTACTTTAAGCCATAGCCTATAGGTATTCTACTGCTAATACCGGTCTCAAGCGCAAGTAAAGGAGGATATTTGGGCATCCATCCCATCCCGTAAAAAGCAATTTTCCTGAAAAAACACTAACCAGAATTAATAATATAAACTACCTTGAAGGTTGAAGGATCTTTCAGAAGAATTATGATGCCTCATGGTGAAAGCTCAGATTCTTCGGCAGTTATGAGGCCGATACCGCTTCTAACAACCGGAGCAACAATTAATATAGGTACTCGGAACATCTAGACAATGTGGGAGACCGGGAGGACCAATCAAACAGCTGCGGAAATGAGGAGATACAACTTGACGGTGCTTTGATTCAGTGAAACTCATTCAACACAAAGTGGACAGAAATGATGGATTTGGGAGTGATGCTGCTGCACGTTTGTCACAAAGAAGAAAATGCTGCTCATACTCAGTGAGTTGCTCTGATGCTGTTCAAAGAAGCACGTAAAGCCATTAATTAGGGGAAATCTCGTGAACCCATGGTCATCAGAGCATCTTTCACAATAAAGGAGGAAATCATAATCAATCCAGTGTTATGCATCCACCAATGATAGCAACGACGACAATGAAGATCAGTTCTGTGAGAGGCTGCAATCAATCAAAACGAAGTGCCCAGGAAAAGACCTGGTCCTCCTGATGAAAGATCTAAACAGATTGGTGATAATTATGACTGATAAAGTCATAATGTGATGTGTGCTACTTATATTGATATAAGTAGTATATAACGCGAGTTAAAGAACGTAATGTCTGGCAGCAGAAGATGGGGGAAGAGCGAGAACACAATGGGATTGATGTTTGCAACGGCAACAGTCCAGTTTGATATGATGGAATGATATTTTTCAAATTAACGATTTACTATTTGGTTTTTCTATTATACCAAGTAACGGTAACTTTGTGCTAAATACATTCGGTTGTCCCCACCCATGTTCTTGTTCACTACAATAACAGCTACCACATGGTAACTGTTCAGTAACAAGTAATTAGACGCCATTTCTATCCAACCTGTTTTTTTCACACGCATCGTTATTCGTACTTACTTACGCCTGTTACTCCTCGTAAAGGGGCATAGGTCACCCACCCTTCTCTACCTCTCTCCGTCCTGGGCAATCCTTTTCAGTTGTTATTCATCCTTACCATATCTGCTTTCAATTGTCGACGAAATCTGTTCTTTGGTCTTACACTTTTCTGTTTCCCTTCATGATTCCAAGTTAACAATTGCTTCGTGGTGCAGTTTGTTGGCTTTCACAATGGATATCCTATCCACTTCCAACATCTAATTTCTTATTCTGAAAGCTGGTTTTGCTCTCTCCTATAGTAGGTTGTTGCTGATGGTATCCGGTCAACGGACATTGAGTATTTTACGTAGGCAATTGTTATTCTGACAGAAATTAATTGGGATATTTTAGTATCACAATTATATATTTGTTGGTTCCCAGAGTTTATACGCACATCGATAGTTCACAAACAATTCCAACTTTCAATTTGTACTTTTATTTTCACTTCATATAACGACAAATCAACACCCAATATCAACTTTCAGTAACTCAAACTTGCACACACAATCATTCATGCATTTATCTCCACATTGTGAACTTTTCACATGATCCGCACATAACTGACTCATGTTATCCTACTTATATGATTGGATAATGAAAGTAAAAAAACTATTCATTGTTAAGCATTATATATTTGATAGTTTTGGTTTTCATTACCGTGAAGAGATCTGAACAAGACTGCTGGACGAAACGTTGGGATTATGTGATTTTCAATCGCTGAGATTATTTCAAATATAATTTGACAAGTAATGTTAAATCTGTAGTTTTTATCACTTTCTTGATGCTCGATTGTTTACATGTTTTTGTTAACTTTGATAATTTAAGGCTTTCTTTGACTTCTACGCGTTTCCAACGTGATGCACGTGCACTAGAAATGGAAGAAGAACAATGGTTTGATCAGGATGAAGATGAGGAAGAGGAAGAAGATGGAGATAACCTATTCCCACAACACTCGCCAACATTGCTCAATAGAACGACAAATGCTTCTGCTAGTGCAAGTGAACCTACTGTTGGAAGTGGTTTGTCAAATCTCCCTTCATATGGGCTACATTCTGTAATTACTACTTCGTCAGATCTATTGGGTATTGTTACGTCTTCAGATACGCAATCTAGTTTGGTTTCTTTATCATCCTCGGTCGCACCAAGCAATTCTAGTCTTGATTCATGTGCTAGTGTTCTGCCTCACCCACCCAGTTTTTCACCGAAATCTGTGATGGATAATTTAACTGACAATTTATGCATACCTTCACGTTCAGGATCTCTGTGCGATAGACTTCGTGTACGTCCTCACACTGTTCTTTTGAATGATGATAATGAGTCTTCTGCAGCACGTCTTAATTTTGGTCGTCAAACTCCTATAGCAATTCATATTAAATCATTGTGTAGAGAGAAAATAGAAACAATGAGTGATGGATTTGAAATAAGTGGTCGATTAAGTCCATCTTTATTAGCGTCAGATACCAATTTATCAAGCGCCAGAAATCCTAACCATATTGATGATAATGAACATAAAGAAAATGTAACCGGTTCAAATTCAAGTGATGCACAAAACTCATCAGTATCAAGTTCCATTATGTCTGATATTTCCCATAAAATAAAGCGAAATCATATCGATCCTCCTGTTGAAAATGAGGACTGCAATTTAGTTCAGGTAAAACGTTTGAAAAAATCTAGACAGTCAAGTAACAAGTCGTCATCCCAAGATTTTCACCTACACAAAGAAACAGTGATCTTGGAAAACAGCTACTCTGACAAACTTCCTCATGAGACAAATAATACAAAATCATTTGAGGTGGGTTAATTGTTTTAATTTTTCATCAGTGAGGTGTTTAAGCGAGTGGTTGCTTATTTTAGAATCGCTTTATTATAATCAAGAAACTATTTATGTTAGTAAAATATTTTTAAATATTCATCAGTGCTTAAAATTGCATTTCAGTATCCACATACTTACTTACGCCCGCTACTCCCAATGGAGCATAGGCCTCCGACCAGCAAGTATCCACATATGTGTACATAATTGATCCTGCTTTTAAATCGAATTATTGTAATATTATGAAGCGAATGAGTATTAATGTAATCTACCAACATCACTCATTTTCATCCTAAATGTGCATAAACTCTTTATGTTATCGGATTAATTGTGGTGGACTGAGTAATAGTTACTCTGTTTATCGAAAGGGTTGATTAATAATCTTATTACATACCTCATACTCAGTAGATGGGATTTACACGGAAATGATAAAGCTGAGCGAAACTAAATTAAAACATTACAAACGGTTATTGTGATCGATTTAGTATTATTTATTTCTAACACAAAATTCTTGCATTATAGGCTTCAAGATATCTCCCAAATAAAATAAAACGAAGAAACAAGGAACATTATGTGATGAATAGCAAGAGTTAGAAGTATTGAAGGACTTTGGGCGCAACCAAAATATACTTTGTTCGACTCAAAGAAACATCTTAATTTCTACGAAGAATACATTTAAAAAATGATTATAGGATCACTGGTTTATTATATAGGCCATTCATTTCGATTGACATGGTTTGTATAAAATCTGGGATTCTCCTTAGGTCTTTAAACCAAGCAGGTGGTTCTTTCACAGGATCAATCTATGAACCTATGATTTACAGTTTTATTCTGTAGCAACATACTGACTTAAATTTACTTGGTATTGCTTGCTTGTATTTATCGGACGAAAGGCGCGTCCTGGATTCCACTGCTAACCACCGTCAATCTTAACATACTGACTATTATGAATGACGATAAGTTAATCATAAAATACAAATCTTCCGTTTAACTATATATATATATATATATATATATATATATATATATATATATATATATATATATATATATATATATATATTACATTTACAATCGATTGGTCACTGGGTAGTGATCAATGTCATGTATGTTACGTCCTTCCTAGTTCAGATAGATCTAATCTCCAAAGTTGTAATTTGGCAACTAGTATAGGTGACTTGAAATTGCGTGCACTATATTGAGATAAGATGGTAGTTGGAGGTAGTCTATAGGGAACTCTGAACCTAGGTTCAGTACTATTTGGCACTCCTCAACAAGGTGTACCTGTGATCTTGAGGGAACGGATGCTCACTGGCTGATTTGATCCCTTATCACGCAGCTTCGCAGTCCGAGACGTTACCACTTTCTCGATAGGATTCGATCTGCACTAAGGAGGATCTGACACACATGACATTGATCACCACCCAGTGATCAATCAATTGTAAATACATCGTACAATTTATTTCGCCGAGTCCTAGAACCAATGCTTTGACTTCAAAGCTATGATTTTTAAACTCGAGCACTCCCGTGGCGTGAAGGTAGTGAGTTAAACTTTGTATGAGGGTATGCCACACTCTATTGTACTTGAACATTTGTGGAATACACCGCATTTTCAATTTCCTTTGATGTTTTATCTGAGACTGATAGTGTTTATCTATTTTTTATGAATGCATGGTAAATATATATAATTTATTAACACTTAGAAACCTCAAAGTAAGTCCAAAAATCATGTATTTTATTTTGAGTTGTTTGTGTGTATTGTATGTTTTTGATTGGTGCAATAAATGACATAATCCCAGTAACAATCATAAAAGAGTGACATCACATGTTCTATCAATTCATTTGACCTATGCTTGTAGGTTATAGAAGCTGATCCATTGTCTCCTATTGGTTTGGTGGATTATTCAGATGAAGAAAGTGAGGAAGAGGAACAAATAAAAGACAAAAATGACCATATTCAATTTGAAGAAAATCAAACATCAAATGATGACGTTGATGAGTCTCATCACAACATATCGGATGTTTCATCCAGTCAAGTGGTGACAGATGTAGTCTAAAATTGTACAAAGTTATTAAGCATCCATTCCTTACTTTTTACAAAACTGATGAGACGTCGAAATGAACCATTTCTGTGCCTTTGTCTTACAACCTAAGGGAATATTTTTTTAACAAAAGTGATTTCACCAATTTTGTTAAAATTATCAACCATCCAGGTTGAGATGCTTAAGACATTGGCTATGCCAGTGGTTCTTCGTCATTTCTCTTTTAATTTCCATCTTCAGTAAATGCGCCAAAATTCTAATTTTTCCTGTCTATTACCCAGCGCGCATTTTGTACATAGAAACATTGTATTGATTGACTGGGGGATCTAAAAATAATTTTATGTAGAGAAATGTTTGTATAACCAATAGGCATTTGCCTTTTGTAAATGCGCTTTGTTTAATAATGTTCATTGTAGACACCTCAAATTGTTTCAGATTTTTTTTCAATCCGTCAGTCGAAATGAATACAACATAATACATTTCTTAATACTTAAATGATATGTATAACGTCAGTCTGTGTTGATATGATGAATGGTCGCTCGTTTGTTTACGCATACGTCTTTCTGGTTCCGGATAATTTTTCATGCGCCCGTTATTTCGTATTCGGTAAACAGTTGATTTATTCAAAGGTTTTATTTCTCGATTGGTAAAATATTCTGATTATAGATCTGTGGGGAAGATGACTTATGGTGAAGCAATGTATTCGTTACCTAAATCAGCCAATCTACCCTCCATCTATTTCGTCGTCACACTGCTCCGTAAACCACATTCACGAATTTTGATTTACTCACGTGTCCGAAATTTAATTATCTCATGATTACATTTAGAAATACTCTGACTACGCATATACAGGATGCCTACGATCATAGACCAATTAACTCCTGATAGTAACATACTTTTAATAAAGCGGTCTGACTTGTGGACCTCCTTCCAGGAGATCAATGCCCGAAAATTCAGTCGACGAGAACGTTGTTTCCATCAGTATATCTATGATGAAATTAAACAGAAATAGAGATAGTGGGCAGACGTGACGGACAGCACTTGGGGTTACGAAATCAGATGACAGTTCGTTGGTAGTGTTCAAGTAAAGAACCTTCACAAGGTTTATGTACTTCTAAGAATCGTCTTTCAACGATAGACACTGTCACAGAACCTCTCGGTCCACAGAGTCAAATTTCGCTTTTAAGTCAAGAAAGATCACCATTGTCGGACGCCGATAAGTAGTATGCCTGTGTTCTAGAACCTGACGAGTGGTGAATATGTGATCGATGCAGATACAACAAGGTCTGAAGCCAGCTTGAGTCTGTTATGTTTGCAGTTCATGAGTCTTAGTTTGGTGTCCGATAATTATCGAGGCTAGTATTTTAGGTGCTATGGTAGTCAAGCTAATCCCTCTATGATTGTCACAGGATGATTTTAAACCTCTCTTATATATTGGGACGATATGTGATTGTGATCAGTTAGATGGTATAACGTCTAACTCCCAGGTCGTAGCTAAAATATTAGTCAACCTAATCGCTAAAATTGGACCACCATACTTAAAAACTTCTGGAGCCAATCCATCTGGACCAGCTACCCTTCTTCGTTTCAGATTAACTATAGCCTTTTGAACTTCGGCTTGAGTTCGGGGACCTACTTCAATGTTCCATTCACTCTGTCTGGGAATGGAGGGTAGTTGTAGAGTAGTTGAATGCCAGCTGAAATGTTCCACCCATTGTTCTACACGTCTGGACTGGGAGTAGATGAGAGTGTCGTCTTTTTCCGAAATAATCTCACTTACAGTTGACTTATTAGTTCCAGTTTCTTTTATTAGTCTGTAGAGCTGTCTTGTGTTCCATATAGGCGCCGCCTTTTCCATCTCTTTTGTTTTCGTTGTCCACCACTGCTCACGGTCGTTCCTTAGACTTTTGGTTAACCTAGATCTGATTTGTTTTCGCTTTTCATCGTGTTCAGAGCGTGATGGGATGAGTTTACGAGAATCCATCAGTACAATAGATCTTGAGGAAATCCATTGGTTCTTTGTAACCTTGTGGTTTAAATCACTGATAGACGTCACTGCTGTTTCCACAGCTGTTTGTGTATCTTTCTAAGCAACATCTGGGTCAGCCTCGTCTTGAGAACTACCTTAGTGTGACCTCAGTTGTTCCTGGGACTTACTTTTGGTTTTCTCGTTACTCAACTCAGTTCTAATGGGTCTTTTTAATGTGGCATTTTTGCGTCCAGTGAGGCGCAAGCAGATGCGTGCCCGTATTAGGGCGTGGTCGGAGTCCAAGCAGGTACTCCAGAATGAGCGACAATCTATTACCGACCTTCTTCAACGATGACTGATGGCAATATGGTCTATTTGAGTCAATCGTTGGTTTGGTGTAGGGAGTCGCCATGTTAGACGACGTTTTTCCTTAAGCTTAAACTTTGTGTTTGCTCAAAATAAACGATTGTCTGAGCATAGTTGCAGCAGACGATCACTATTATCTGTTCGTTGTGCCGGAATACTGAAATACCCACCCAAATGCCTTTCTGTTTGATTTAAACTATCTATCTGGGCATTAAATTTACCAGCTACGAGTATTATGTCTGAACGTTTAGCTTTCTGAAGAAGTTCAGATAGCTTTCTGTAAAATTCATCTTTCACTTCATCCGAGCTTCAGTCGGTGGGAGCGTAGGCAGTATTATAACTTGTGTCTGCAGATTAGAGGACAGCGTATTATCGATCGGACCAAAGACGCGTAAACACGTAAGAACGGTCTGAAGTTCTGATTGGTCCCGCTTCCCTCTCTAGCCCAGCCAGTTGACTCCAGAACGCAAGTCTCAGCCTCTGAGATATGAATCATTATATTTCAAGCATACTGAGTTTATATACCAAACAAACCGACCACAATGTACCAATAAAATATGAAACAACATTTGTACAAGAACTAGCCAGAAGTGGCTGTGAATGAGGGAAGTAGTAATCAATATACTGGGTATAACTCAAGAATGGTAAAACGTATAATAATGGTTCATAGGTCAAAAAAAAGCTCATAATAAGAGGGGCATGAATATGAAAAATTTAGTTACATAACAATTATACGATAAAAATATACCCATAATATTAGTCCATAAATGGATCCCAAAAATTACGATTCATTATTCTTATCGGAATACAACAGGCAGAAACGACAAAAAGGTAACGACGTGTGTCCCTATCCTTCCTAGTTCCTACAGTGTCGTTTAGACGAACAGTACATAAACGACTGTTAACGGGGATCCGCTCTAACAGTGCTTGTTCCGCCCTCATGCTTGGCGCTATGCCTACACCTGCCAGTCCACGAGAACTGGCCATCGGGTCACCAAATACACGGAGGGTGTATCTCGTCGACTCTCCGTTTTGCCGAGGTGAGTTGAAGTGAATGACTACACTGGTATCCTGTATGCGTGTTTCAGAGACACAGCATACATCAATGGTACGAGATTCTGGGGTTCTAGCCAGGGAAATCTGCTGACCGATTTGACATAGGGTGAGTACGTTGAAGGCTCCAATGTGTAGTTTGAAACGAGGTTTCAGTAGACCTGGGACAGTGTTTCGCGCACTAGAATTGTTGGCTATGGTGACATTTGAGGGGAAGCCGAAAGAGGAAGTTTAGAGGTGAAAGTTGATGTAGGAGAATGTCACAATCTTTTTCTTACGGTGTGACCCAGCTATTCCTATTGCTTAGCATTCTTTGACACTAAGTCACTCGACAAGTCCCCAAATCAGAACACGGTTGAACAGGAAAGAGATTATATTCCAAATAACAAGGTTAGATGGAAGCAAAAAGCAAGTAAGAAGCACAATAGGGAAAACGTTAGTACATTTATAGTTTTTACATGAGAAGATTCTAGAGTATTCCCCAACTATCGACTAGTGCTGATTGGATAAGAATTAGTCAATCAGTGTGCACCAAAGCAATCGTGCATTGAGCATGCTTTAATCCAGTCTATGTCCCGCTAACAGAGGAATAATAGGAATTGAAGAGGGAGGTTGATTATGAATACAGTGGTCTTGAGTGCAGTTAGAGGTATGAGGGCGGTTATCACTTCTCGGTTGCCCACACCGTGGAAGGGTTCTTCTGGAGGTACCTGAGAAGGAAATTGGATTAAAGGTGGTCTTAGTGACCTGGGAGCGTGACCACAGTGCCCAAGGTACAACTGCTCGAGGTCGGTCACACACAAATATTTTTGTGTTAGCTTCTTTTTTGTTGAGACCTTATCACCGAACGCGGACATCGGTGGATAAGGCAGAGTGTGCATTTTTAGAGTGAACCTTTTCTAACCCCACCCCTCCTTGTGAGAAGGCAGCATCGATGTTATGCTGGTTGTCTGGAGGAAACACCTTACTGTCGTCACGCCTTTGTACAGTAAGGCCCTGGATCTGAGTTTGCCGCCTTTAGTTTTACCGCTCTTCAACCGACCTGTCTGACATGGTAGGACCTTGAGGAATGGTGGTTCTAGCCAGTGTTGCTCGTTTGGTTCAATACGGTCGGCAACCCCGTCCATCACCTTAAGGAGGGAGCAACATTTGGATTTGTAAGAAATTTTAAAATGTGCTAATAATGTATTTGATGGATTGTTTCCATATTCTACGAAGACATAATTTTGCACACTAAAATTGATACTTCGTGCTCAGATTTTCTTTCAGTGATTACTGATCCCAACCCAATTCTCTAGTATTTCGCGGAAGGGCGGTCGGCTGAATATTGATTAAACTCAAAATAGTTGTCATGAAATGTGTGATTTTTGCTATGCTGTGCGTTTAGAGCTAGCTGTAGTACTGTCGGGTAGTCAAAGTTGCTGACTACATTTGTTTCGCACTCATACATATAACTCAGAAGAGTAGACCTGAAAACCTACATTCTATTACTGTGGATGGTTAACGTCGCCCGCTTTAGGAAATAGAAGGGACGTTACCTTTTAGATTAACTTTATCAGTTAGCAATAAACATATTTATATGTAATTAATGCTTTGAGAAGTAGAGCTAATCGGGAAATCTTTCGTTTCTTCGAAAATCCTGTGAATAAAAATAAGTTATTCTGTTACAAATTCCGGATAACAAGATTTTGATTGCAATAGGTTAGTTGTGTCAAAGTAGACAAGAAACCACGTAGTTTCATAATGTATAGTGTATTCTTATTCCATATATACAGTTTTTGTTCCGTCCAATGTTTACACATTTTAGATACTTTAGACACACTGTACTGACAAAGTACTTAACGACAACCACAGATACGTGATGGTGTTTAGTCAGTAAAAAGTACAATCTAATAAACTGTACAGACGTTTTTTTTAAAATGGCAAACAACATTATTATCAATTAAATTAGTAATAAGTAAAAACAAAATTTTTAGTATTTCTCTCGATTTAGTTGAATGCATCCTCTATACCCAGGAAAAGTTGGATTGTACATGATTGATCGTTCATAAATTTGTGTTCGTAACATCTCAGCTCGTTTCTAGAACAAAATAGAAAAACTAAGTAAATCAAATAATAGAAATTGCGTTAAAATATTCTAGGATATGCTACTACTCAATGAGACCGCTAGCGAAGAATCCTTGATCTCCGCTGTTAAGGTAACCTACACGTTCAATAATAGAATTCGAAACAGCCTTTGTTCTTTTTTATAAGTAGTCAATCAGGACAAAGGAAATAGCCAGTTATTAAATCATAAATTGCGTGGTTATGAAAGTGAAATGATCACTAACATAGGATTTACGTCACTTGATAAAAAAATTCCAGTAGATTATACAGAATAATGGCCCAACTATTCGTTTCGCTCTGTGGTGTTGAATACCTTCAAGGGATTTTCGAAAAGAAAACCACTCATTAACTTCGACTTTTCAATACAAAGTAGACTATTTACAATTTAAAAGACTTAGTGTTCGTGAATGTCTATTTCAAAAGGATAATTTACATGTAGAACAATTGTCATAACTCTCGGTTTTCTTCGTATATACAAGTGGGGCGTTAATTTACCTCAGACGAATATCTACACTAGATACCTACTCAATGTCTATTCTACAGGACTTTAACACGATTCAGTTCAAGAACATGTGACTAGCCTGACTAGAACGTAAGTATATTTTCACAACAAAAACCGACAACACAATGATAATTATAAGGGTAGGAGAATATACGACTCATCTAATACCTGTCGGACTATCTGCTAGTCTGACTACGCAAACAACCAATCATTCTCTTCCACACAGCAATAGACTCATCCTATCTCGTTTCTTTTGTTCAGAATACATCTCCAGAAATCCTTGAAAAGAAGGTTCTTTAACTGTCTTAATATTTTACTTTTTCTCATAGAATTTTCTATTTCCCCACAGTTTTCTTACATTTATTTGATCAGCAACTATTCCGATCAGTAATCGTAAAAGATCATAATTAATGTTTTTATTAACGGAGGAGCTTGATTGTCACACTGCTTTTACATCATCCTTGAAGTCTTCGCAGCCATTGTTGAAATCCCTGATCTACTTGGGAAGTTCTTTTTAATGCGTCATCTCCATTAATATATTTTAATAAGTCGTGAATTACTTAAAATCTTCACCAGAGACCCTGAAGTCTTAGGCATTTGTTGAGCGAATCATTAATTAATGGGTTGATCGTATAACTTGAAGAAAGAAAGCAATTCAACGAAGAAAAAATGTACAGAAGAAACGACCGATATCGAACTTTATAAAGTACGACAAATATTGATCAACAATGAATATCCATTGAATATAGGTGTCATTATCAACGTTTGACTTGACAATTTCGAATAACTAGTATAGGGGTTGTTGAGATTATTAAGTTTTTGATTGAGATCATAAACCGATTAATGTTAGACCATCACAATTGAAAACCTGGAAGCACTGAACGGCCGTTTCGTCCCAGTGTGGGACTCCTCAGCAGTGCGCATCCACAATCCCGCTCGCCGGATTCGAACTGAGGGCCTTCGGTCTCGCGCGCGAACGCTTAACCAACTGGACCACTGAGCCGGCATCCAATGGTGATAGTGTCTAACATCAACCAATCCACGAAATTGCGAGACCAACTTTCGTTGTACTGAGGTAGATACCTGTCTCTACCCGACAAGTATTAACTTCACTGGTCACGGCTTCTCATTAAAACTCCGAGAATTCCCTCACGAAGCTAGTCACTAGTGAGCGGGATCGTGGATGTGCACTGCTAAAAAGTCCAACAATAGGACGAATCGGCCGTCCAGTGCTTCCAGGTTTTCAATTGTGATGGTCTAACATCAATCGGTTCATGATCTCGATCAAAAAATTTCGAATAAATTGAGCATTGAGTGGATTGATGTAAATAAACTAATATATTTGTAATATCCCGAAGAGTAGAAAAATTAAATTTTCTGATGTTTCGTGACTCAGTATGAGCCACTTCTTCAGAGAATAAATAACCAGATCAAAATTAATTTTGATTTGGTTATTTATTTATTTATTGAATACCACTAAGAAAAACCTGAAAGCGAAACAACGACGTGAGTGCCCATAACACTAAAGAATATTCTCTTCATAAATATCCAATTTAAGGGAGATAATACAACAAAAATTCTGAAAGACAGACTTTCGAGATCTCTGAGAAAAATATTCTATTCGACTGAACTTTGTATTATCTTTTCTAGTCGGCCAATGATTCGAAGTTGTTGAAGGTTAAGCTCACACTTTAAGCCAAATCAGTGTGCATTTATCAGTTTACTTGCCAACGTGGAGCAGGTTGTGTTGGCCAAAAAACGAGCTTCTTCGAAACGCATCCCCGAACGTCATCCTGTTTGGTTTTCTAAATGATTACAGAAGTCATTCAGAAGCTCAATTTGGGAACATCTAGCTAGTTATGGCCACTCCGCTTTACCAAAAGCTTTCAAAATCATATAGTCAGAAAAGTCGGCTCAATAGGAACGCAAATGAAAAGCTTACGTAGAGCGTACAAAAACAGCATATTCAGTCCCTCACTTTTCCATGGTCATAAACGGCCTTCCTATATTTCATAATCGATCGTTTTTTATTCCATTATTTTTACTCCTAATTATTTTCACAACTAATCAGTAATTATTACAACTCTCAATTATGTTGTTTTTAATAGTCATCTCGTGGACAGTTATCTTCACCTTACCACTTTTCACTAGCCGATTATTACGTAACTTTCTTTCAATATCTGATTGTAATTGATGACGAGACACCATTTCAAGTTTTTAAATATTCCATTTGAATATAGACTACTATTTTAGCAAATAAAATTAACTTTAAGCACGATTGTACAGCTTAAGTAAACGAAATCGACGAAAAAATCTTTCGCTGAACGGCCTTCTTTCTTCTTCAATGATCGTATAACTGTTACGCCTAGTACTTGGACGCTAGAAACTGGCTTTCTAACTGCCTTGTTTCCTGAGAATCCTCGTACACTTGAGCTCCGAATAAAAGACAAGAAGCGAGAAACATACTAAATTTAGTAACAAGGTGTGTAGTTATCTGTTGTTTTTCTGGAAATGTCTGTCCAATTTCCGCTTACTGATTTTTTTAGCCTGTTCCTCAGCTTTTGAAGGCTCTTAACAAAAGCATATTAGATATATATTTCTAACATTTCTGGCAATAATATTTTGGTAAAGTTATGAGCTAAATAGAATAATGGAAAAAAAGGTATGAGATCAAAACAAATGAAAATCAGAATATTTGTTTTATGAGGGTTGACTTGTCTCAATCAGCAAACCTTCGGAGACAACGATGGCCGAACACAGTCGTTTAACATCTTCGGCTCGCAATTGCCAATTGTCGCGAGGATAGAGTCGAGGTGCTCTTATCAATGCATTGTAAACACAATCTTTTGAAGCCAGACTAACATCACGAAGGCGTCAAAGATGGCATACGCCGCTCTGGCTTTGACGAATGTACACTGATCTCATTTGACTCACTAGCAACACACACAAATAACCTGATAGACGCGCTTCTTTACTTCTAACGGTCCACTTCAAAGAGTGAGTACTGGTATGCACTCATGACAATCCTATGAAAGTACTTTGCAACTAGGTCCAATTTGCCGTCCTAAAGGAAACAGGTCGACAACTAATTAAGTGCCACTTTTATAGCTAGTGTACGATTGAACAGGACTGCAGTTTCATTCACATACTCAAAATCGATAAGATCCACACCACTATTACCTAAATCCATCAGAACTGTTTCTAGAACGTTATCGATGATACGGGTGGAGAGCGATGGTGGAATCACATAACCCCATTGCATGAATGGAATAATGGGCAGAGTTGGATGCATACACTCATTCTGCATAAGGTGTTTGTGTACAGAACATTCAAGATATTAGTAAATTCTGCAGAAACACCCTACTTCAAAATAATACTAGACAAAGTCCATTGCAACGAACTGAAGGCGTCTCTGATATCAAGAATAACAACTATTATTAACCTGCAATGAATGTGGCGGTGCTCTTAAATTTGACAGAGTGAAAATACGATCGATATACCCATGGACCTGAGCCTATCGCGATAAACCTAGGCCATAAAGATGAATTCATCGTTTTATATGAGAACAGTGCCACATACGTACCATATTGAAGAATAACTCGTTTTATATAAAATAGTTAACTGGGATATCGAGTTCTGATCAAATGTTTACTAATAACTTTTAGTTTTAATCAAGACAGTAATAACTGAAAGACTTCAGTCACTTGACTGTTTCCAGAGGTTTTATAATGATGTACTGAACTGCTGAGAAAATAATCGCTAAAACAAGATATCTCAACTTGACTGTGTTAAAAAGTATAAATAATTTGTATCAAGTGACGGAAATTTATCTCAAGAGATGATAACTAAGAAGTGAACGGTTCAAAAAACTTCTATCAGACTTTTATTACAAACATGTGCTGAAAATTTCATATTATACTAAACATTTAATGTTGAATAAACTGATCATAATTATTAAGGTTCTGGATAGTCTGACTGAAATTCTGCCGTAACTTTGTAGGTCCATTCATTTTTAATCGTGCTAGAAATCTTCAACATATATTTCAATTATGTCCCGTGTGTTTGTTTGTCATGCTATCCTTTTCTACTTTACATGGATTGTTTTTTACTGTGCTATCTATCATGAACTGTGTGTATATATGAGAATTGAATTGAGGCATTTTTTAGAGCAGACATTCTTCTGCCACGTTACTACTATAGTGTATTTGATATATAATAGTCTACATTTATATACATTAGACGATTAATAATCTTTACAGTAATGCATGAAATTAATTTTTATATTAATACGGTAAGATTACAAAAGAACTTACACGTAATAAGTTATTTCGTAGAAACTCTTCACGTTTATTTAATAATTGTTGAAATTGTGAGTTTTGTCCTACTTCATCTTCAATAGGTTCAGGAGACGAATTAACTAGGGGTGGTAAACCAGATTGTGAACAGATCTTATTAGAATCTTTTTCTCCACATAACTCTAACTGATTATCAGATTTAGCTGGTGTTGTTCGAATATTACTATTATTATGTGATGCATTGGATAAGGCAACATTGACATTAGCTTCTGCTTCGGCTAAAGCTTTTTCTGCTTTTGAAATACGATCAAGACGTCTAGTAGCGACGATTAAATCATGACGAGCCTAAGAAAATATACATAAATCGAACAATAAATAAAAAATGTAACAATACACGTACATTCATTACTTATACTTGTAAACACTATTTTAAAGTTTTGAAAGACATTCAAATAATTTAGTGTAGCCGGATAAGTGTAAACTGTATAGAGGATTCTTTTCCTAAATTTCATATGAAGTTAGCTTTCATTGTGAACTGATTTCACTTGAAAACTCATTTAAATCGCGTAAAGAAAACTGTTGGAAAAATATTAGATATGATCAGACGGAAAAAATATAGTTTATCAGTTAGTTAAGTCATATTATCAATGATCTGGAAGAAAAATAGCCATAATAGTGTAGATGAACAAATCCAATTGATGTCACCATCTTGAAACACTAAATTTATTGGGATGATAATGTTTTAAAAATTCCATTTCAGTGGCTTTCACACCGGGCATTGATTGGTGACACTGGGACAATGTAGAAAAAGCCAAGAAGTGTTCAATTTATAAAATAGTACCGTAGTATGAAAAAGCTGTTTAGGACTGGGTAACTGTTGGTCTATTGCGATACCATGCCTAGGTTCCTAGAGATGGTACAACTTAGTAGACTAAGGTACTAAAAAATATGACTCATAACAGAAGACAGTGGTAACCATGGTGTAGTTTTCTTTTACATTTTCCAAAAAAATGAAAGTGCTTTAACTTAAAGGAATCTTTCTCGGTTGTATTTTTAATTGGACAATATCTCTTATTGTAAACTTCATTACCTTTTACCTCATAATGTTATCCCCTTTGTTTGTGTGGTGCATATTGTTTTGGCACTTAAATGTACCAGGTTTCATATGTATGATATAAATAGATAGATGAAAATCTGATTAATCTTCCTCCTAAATTTTAAGATTTTACATTACTTTATTCTTCTAGTTATCCGATTTGATTATAGTTTTTAGGTTAAGTTAAACTTTTACCTACTATTAAATTAATTATTACTTCAAATGTTTTTGATTTTCCTTTTTTTCTTCATCTCTTGTTGTACTAACCAACGTGAAGTATGACAACTTAGACTAATGATGTCCATTTTCTATGCTAGATTCTATTATAACGCCGTTGTTAAACTGCACGAATTGTGGTGAATATCACTTAACCATCATTTGATTTAATTGAGAAAAGTAGTATCGGTTTCGTTCTATTTGGTACTCGTTAGATGGATCTATCTACATACCAACGTTAATTTTTACATCGAGACTTTGACAAAATGGTTTTCGGCCCAGATGATCATTAACTTGTCCAATGGTTATAAAAGTATTATTAAAGGTTTGTAATTTCTCAATGTTAATAATCATGATTACAATTAATATCACACGTCAAAACGCGCATTTACAATCATCTTACTGCTAGTCATATGACAAATATACTATTCGTTGTGTTGTCTATTAGTGTTCGGCCATAAAAATAAACGTTTTGATAAGCAGATCAATATATATATATATATATATATATATATATATATATATATATATATATATATATATATATATATATATATATATATATATATATATATATATATATATTCAGTTTCTTACCTGTATTTTTGCTAGTAAAAAAGTCATTAGTCGTATTCCCTCCACTTTACGTATAGCCACTATACGACGGTATTCTTCAAGGGATATTTTCTTTTTAAGTAATTCTTCTTTAATTCTTTTACACCTATCTATTGCCTATGATAAATAAAAATAATGATAGTATCAATTGTGTTTTAGAAAATTTACTTTAAACAATTTTCATGAATAAAAATTCATTCATTGGTATAAACGATTAACTTAGTGGTATGTTCTTTATTGAATAAATAAATATCCAGATTTGATTATTCATTCTCTGAAGAAGTGACTTACACTGAGTCACGAAACGTCAGAAAAATTAATTTTTCTACTCATTGGGACATTAGAAATATATTAATTTATTTATAACAATCTACCCAATGCTCAATTTATTCGAAATTGTCAAGTTAAACCTTGATAATGATACCTACAAAATCCTTATTGAAGTTTGAAATGATTAATGAATATTTGTATCGTGCCCCATGAAATGAATTTCAATATTGTTGTCTTTTTCTAGTTTTAAGTGGAATTATTTACTTGTGAATCTTTGGTCCTCATTGCTAGGCTGAACTTCATATCCATAATGAATAAAGCCACATATTATTTAGTGGGCAATCATTGTATATGACGCGAAGTTGTATAAAGCTATCACTAAGTAACTTTGATGTAACGAAAGAAAACAGGTACATACATTTGGTGTTGTTTAATTTTCTCAACTACATAATTTAATCATGAAGTATTCATTGTCGTTCCTTCTACAAAACATGATTATTAGTCCAGACTAGAAAAACAAATGATCTATAATAAAATCCTCGTACAAATGAGTAACGGCTTGTTTTATCCAAATGGAGTTTGATTAGCTACTACTAACAGTTCTGTTATCATTGTGTATACATTCATCATAATTTTGTAAGCAGTGAGAATATATAATTATCGACAATAACCAATCCAACCCCAGGTCTGCAGAATAAACCGTAATAGTCAATTGTTAATGATGCTATCTGGAATGACAATGAAGACCTTATTATTAAATTATTTATTTTTTGAAAAAGGCAACGTTACCAAAATCTTTTTGATCGTTTAAAAAATTTAGTCGAGCCACACAGCTAGCACAATATTGTAATTATTTTATTACAACAGTAATGTGTTTAAACACTACACTAACTACATCATTGAACATCGGGAAAAAAAACCCAGAAAACATGGAGAAAGAGAAACACTTAAAAAACTTAACAATGACTTACAATTTGTCGTTTACTTTCTTCTCGTGCAGCACGTTTCGCTATACGCTCAGCTTCAGCGGCTAATGCTTCTGCTTCACGTCGTTCTACGGCTTTACGCTCTGAATCTTCTAAAAGACGTAAACGTTCACGTGCTGCTTCAGCTATAGTTCTTGCTTCAACACGTCTACGTTCAGCGACTATGAGTAGTTGATTTCGTTTGTTTTGTCTTGCATGAATAGAATCTGGTGATAAGTGTTTAGTTCGATCAAAATCAATCTAATTCAATAGAGAAGAAATGTAAATAGCGCTTTGAATTGAGATTTCATTACTAAATTACATTTTAGCGTTATACAGAAAACAGACTTACTTAATAAACTATACCATTTACTGGACAGATGTTTATTTTCTGCGTTAATCTATATTGTTTGTGTGCGTGAGCTAATGGTACTTACTATTTGGTTGTTAGAATCAAAGTAGGTAAAGGATGCATCGGAACCTGAGACCTGCTGATTGAAAGGCGAATGCCTTTGTGTCATTAATTCAACACTTCACAAACATATTTTAGATATAATATTTCGATTATAATAATCTCTGAGTCATTAATATGTTTTTAAATGTCACCATAGAATCTTACTTGAATTCTGAAAAAAATGAGATCTTTTACAATATATGACTAATACCAAAGAAAGTAACTGATGGAGTCGATTGGAAAATAATCAGAAATCTATCTTATAGCTTTAAAAACTTGACAAAAGGAGATTTTAGACTCTGATCTGACACTAAAAGCTTTTGTTTTATATTAACTTGTGAAAATTTAATGACATAGGCACGCTTCCTTTACTTTCGGTCATGTAGTATGAAAAGCAAGGGTCGATCATGGAGGTTTATAAAGAAAAACCGATTTAAAAAAAACCCAGCACAACAAGAAGGAGAGTACTTAAACACAAAAGCAGACGAAATGATACAGGCATATATATATAAACAAACAAAAGATCCTTTCAAGTGTTCGATTTCAAATTTTTTTATAAGTGGAATAAAAGTACAAGATAATTACTCATTCATTTTTTCTAGATTCCGAAATCATTGAACTTGTGAATGAACATAGTTGTAAAAATACTAGGATTTTTATATTTAATTGTTATATTTGTTTTAAAGTTACCACAATTGTTTATAAAATACTTTTCAATAAATGGATAATAAATAAATTTATAATAAATAAAACAGACACTATGACATGATAAAATACTTAATTTCTTTTTAAAAAGCTATACATATCAACAAACTGGATTCCGTAATAATCGGTCGTGCACAGACCAAATCGCGACACTACGGATCATCGTCAACAATCAGTTGAGTGGAACTCGTCACTCTACATCAACTTCATTGATTATGAAAAAGCATTTGACAGTGTAGATAGGAGGACGTTGTGGAAACTTCTTCGACGCCATGGAGTTCCTGAGAAGATTGTCAACATTGTCCGGAACTCATATGACGGACTACAGTGCAAAGTCGTGCATGGAGGATAGCTGACAGATGCATTCCAAGTAAGGACCGGAGTCAGACAAGGCTGTCTACTCTCTCCCTTCCTCTTTCTCCTGGTGTTCGACTGGATTATGAGGACCTCGACATCTGAGGGAAAACATGGTATACAGTGGAGAGCTTGGAACCAATTAGACGATTTGGACTTCGCAGATGACCTAGCCCTCCTATCGCATACACACGAACAAATGCAGATAAAGACAGCCAGTGCAGCATCAGTCTCTGCATCAGTAGGCCTCAACATACACAAAGGGAAAACCAAGGTCTTGAAATTCAAAGCGGAGAACAGCAATCCAATCACTCTCGATGGCGAAACTCTGGAAGATGTAGAATCCTTCACATACCTGGGAAACATCATCGATGAACAAAGAGGTTCAGATGCAGACGTAAAGGCGAGGATTGACAAAGCAAGGGCTGCATTCCTACAATCGAAGAACATATGGAACTCAAAACAACGTTCAGCCAATATCAAAGTCACAATCTTCAATACGAACGTCAAGGGAGTTCTACTGTACGGAGCTGAAACTTCGAGAACTACTAGAAATCATCAAAAATGTCCAAGTATTTATAAATAGTTGTCCAATCAAAATACTCAACATCCGTTGGTCAGATACCATCAGCAACAGTCTTATGTGGGAGAGAACAAACCAGCTTCCAGCTGAAAAGGAAATTCGGAAAAGGCGATGGAAATGGATAGGACATACATTACGCAAATCACCAAACTGCATCACGAGACAAGTCCTAACTTGGAATCCTGAAGGGAAGCGGAAAAGAGAAAGGCTAAAGAGCACACTACGTTGGGAACTAGAAGCAGATATGGAAAGGATGAATAACAACTGGAAAGAGCTGGAAAGGATTGCCCAGGACAGGGTTGAATGGGCGGCTTATGCTCCTTCACGGAGAGTAACAGGCGTAAGTTATATATATTCAGTCGATCAGTCATAAACGTAACTTATTACTTTGTGCAAATGTATAACTGCTCAGTAAGTAGTCACACTTCACATTAACACCGACAAAGAGAAATAAATACAAAATGAAGTATCAATGAAGCCAATGTAGCAATAATAATATCGACAAAAATGTGAAACTGTATCGAAACTCAACATTTAGATGAAGGTAAAAATTAGTAGTACATTTGTGTAATTGGAACCAATTATGTTTTGCAATCACATAATAGTTACTAGTATTCGGTCACGGGAGACTCCGAAGTATAGCTTGTGTGTGTTGGGACCACTAAGTAAGTAATCCCAAAGTTAGACACAAGATACTAGGTAAAGATGGGAAATCTATTGATGATGTAGTGAATCTTCATCGACTAAGGTGGTTGGGGCATGTGTTACGTGTGCCCGACCACTACCTTGCTCGACAGGCAAAGTTGCGTAGAAGTAGACTGGGAGAAAGCTATCGGAGGTTAAACTAGGGCGTAATATCAATTTATGAACTTACTAGCTCTTGGACTGAGCTTTGTAAGTAGATGGAGACCACCTAGTTAAGGTTCGTACAATTATAGTAACCAGTAGTTGGATACGTTGGATGACGTAGTTTGGAATCGGTCGCAGTGACGCAGATGCATTTAGTCTTTGTTTTCGGTTAGATTCTGAGTCTCAAAATTTTCTTACATTGTTTTTCTTTTGCTACTTAATCTTTACCGTTAATACTGATACTGTAACTAATTCTAATACTGTGGGATTTGTCTCCATAAATTTATCTGTGATAGTACGGTGTGGAAACTTGTATTGATGAACACATATGCTAAGTTTTATGTTGCATAGGACCGAGATGACTGACTAATTGATCATTGAAGACTTTAACAATCAATGACTTCACGAACCGATGTCATTGTTTTGGCCTATAAATTAATGATAATAATAATAATCCTCAGGACAAATAGTAACAATAAAGCTTATTTAATTAAAACAGATAGAAAATAATGTGATAGCTTAAAATTTAAAACGATTATCTTGAAAATAACACAAAAAATACTAAGATATGAATCAAATAACAATAACAGGAATTTCATTTTTCAATAGAATATTAAAATGTGAAATTAAGAAGAAATAAATAATAATAAAATCAGTGATATCTGATATGCTTAGTGAATAATATTAATAATGATTAATAATAATAATAATAATAATAATAATAATAATAATAATAATAATAATAATAATAATAATAATAATAAATAATAAATAATAATAATAATAATAATTAATAATAATGATAATAATAATAATAATACATTCTGTTGTAATATTCTGATAAACAATTTGTTTTTTTTAATACAAAATGAATCTTTAATTGTCACATGTTGATTAACTTTTTTTTTTAAAACCTACCGTGTTGTATAGCTTGTTTATTTTATTTTTTTTAATTATCTAATACGTATACACACCTTTTGAATTTTGTTAAAATAATGTTTACATAACAGGATTTGTAAAGATTGCAGAATTTTTATATTTCTAAATCACAAACTAATCTTAGTTAGACCACCATCGAAAACTTGGAAGCACTGGATAATTATTTCGTCTTACTATAGGTAACTTCATAAGCCAGTGTTTTTAATCAGAAACTCAGGATAAATCATTTATCCAATGTTCATTATGTTTTTATCACCTAGTTTTTTTTTAATTGACAATAGGTCACAGTAAAAATCATCTTCCAATACACGAATAATATACAGACAGCTCATAAAAACATAGTATATTACACAACATAAACCACTACAACAAAGAGAACATCGATAGGTAAGAGAAAAACGTTTCGAATTTATGAAAAAAATAATAATGTACATTTTTTTCTTTCGAAAATATAAATAGTAGGGTGTTTTCATCTGTCTAAGAAGTTTCATTGATTTTTGTTTGGATCAATATCACTTTTAACCAACCATATAAACTAAAATGTCTTCTAAAAAAAATACCCGTAATAATAGTTATTATTATTACTATGACTATTTAATAAACCTTATTATCGAGACTTGTAGAATTCTGAAGTTTACCATAGAAACGAGGTTTATATTTATGTTTATATATATACATGAACACTTATTATTGTGTATGGAAGTAACTTTTTATCTGTCTCCTTTTATTCCGAAGAGAACAATTTTGTTATACAATGTATTTCTATTCAACTTAAAAAAATTGATCAGGCCAAGGAACAAATAATAATAATAATAATAATAATAATAATAATAATAATAATAATAATCCTTAGTGATTCTATTAAGTTTTGTTTTAAATGAACAGACACACACTTATTATTCTTATCTATTTGAGGATTTATAACAAATTAGACTATTAATTGTTAAAATCTGTTTGATCTACCTTGATATTTCCAACAACAATAAAGTGTAGTGAGAAAATAGACTTTTTCAAATGTTATTTTTTTAAGATATCATACTGGAAAGGTTTGATTTGATAATTTAAGATAAATTGAACATTTGATGGATTGTTTATAATAACAGTTAAAAAAATAATACATTTGTAACATCTCAATGAGTGTTGTTTAGATTTACGTTAATTTTAATTAATTACTTTATTTTTTTTTGAAGAAGAAGAAGCAACTTAGTAATTTAAGCCGTGAAACACCGGAAACTCACTTTTATACGCATTTTTGTTAACCCATTTATCAGACACAAGTTTATGTATTTCGCTTTGAGTCAGACTCCAATCATAAGGACCAGTGATGCTATGCGGTTTGAGTAGACCGATATGGATAGGGGAGGGTTTGAACTCGTGACTTAGTGGCTAAAAGTCAAACTTCTTGGTCAGTCACAGATCCACCTTCTACTTATTGAGTTATTATAAATATATTATTACGTTATTTTGAAACTGTTACTCTGAGAATGAAAATGAAGAAATTTGAACGCCTGAAATTATCATACATTTAAGAGTTGATTTTATTTTAGACTACACTGAATCCCCTCAAAGATATCCACAAATTTTTTCCAGCAAATAAACTCTTATTTGTCTGTTCAGTCGTATCATCGGTTAATAGAGTATCAAATAATTCAAGTGATGCAATGGAGAATGAGTGACCTACAAATTTATATCCTCCAATCCTCCGTGACATTATATAATACATTGTGTTAAAATTTTGAATACAAGCATGTGATTTTATGACATAAAAAATCTATTCGTTTGGCTAGTAATCTTATTTTTTATTTTAAATTATGCAAAGGCATATGTCAATAATTTCTCTGAACAGCTATCATTCGTAGATCATCGCTGAGTAAAAGTTCTTTTCACTTACTTTGACAGTTGAAAATCCGTTCATTAAACCAATAAAATGTTGACTTATAAAACCAAGTTAGTATAAATCTGTATTGTGAGTCAACTATGATGTTTAACCAAGTTACAGTAGAATCGAGTGCATTAGTTATAAACAATACATAATATCTTCCCGAAAATCTCAATCTTACATACATATTTGAGAGTGACAATTTACTACTGAAATACCTACTCATTATTTTTACATAACAACATTTTACGTTTTATAAACTTTATTATGTTTCGTATTTGATACTGTCAAACAACTAGTAGGCAAGTTATCACTTAAAATTTTACGTTTATTGAAAGTTGTGATTCGCAAAACGCGAACAGTTGAAGTCTTATATGATATAGTTTTTTATCTCTGAGGGAAGAAGCATTTTCCCGAAGCTGCTGATCATTGTCAACTAAAATTTGAAGACGAATTCTGAGGATTTATTTCAGTTAATTCTGATCATCACTTTCTCTTTCATTTCACTTCTTGATTCTGCAATATTCCTTATGTCCAAACTTTTCTACAATCATTTATCTTGTGATTATTTCGACACCATTGTTGTTTATCTTGTTAACTTATTCTCACTGCCCTCAAATGCCCTGGTACAGCCGAGAGTGGGGAGAGTCCGCTCACCCTCTCGAAATGCTCTCACATAGCCACGCGTATATAGCCTCTACCAGGGAAGTCCTACTCACTGCCTTCTCGTAGCTGGGGTGTTGTTTACGAAAATGATCCACTTGTGATATTGTTTATATACTTTTACGTTAGACATCGAACAGAATCTTGTTTGTTATACAATAAGTTGCTTGTTAACAATAAGATTTACGTAGCATCTTACATCAAATACCGACTTGATGAGCGGTAATCTTTCTTCAAAAATACAGAAAAGCCTTATATGAATTAGGTTCTTACTTATTATTGACTCTGTTGATGGCAATCTAATGTTTAGAGTAGCTAATAATATGAAATATAAACTTCTTTGTGTATATTATGATTAAGAGAAATTACTTCAATCGATTCTTATCTTACTTTTGATGGGTTGAAATTGTAAGACTGGTAATGAATTGATTTACCTTAATTTCAGCTGCATAATACAACTTTTCATTCTGATCCGCCAATGCTGATGACTGACTTCGATAAGTTGGAGCATAAACAAGTTTCTGACCACGCAGCATGTCCATAGCACGGCTAAATCCAGTATAATCCATATATTGTACATATGCTATGAATGTAAGTGGACTACCAACACTTGTATTAGTTGGACTAGTCAATATATTGGAGTTTTTCGACTTCATCATATGAGATACTTTTGATTTGTCAGAGTCTGCTGAAGACGAATTAATTACATTGTGTTGTATAGTTGGATTTAAAATTCCAATTGTATCCGGACCAATTTTTCCGAACCCACCAATATATTCCTCTGTACAGCCAGAACCGTTACGGAAAGAATATTCAATGGGTTTGTTAACTGAAGTGTCCGTTTTTAATGTATCACATGAATTATTTAAAGTGTCATTGCTATTTATATAATCTTCCAAGCAATCAGGATTTTGTGAAGGATCTAACATTGGAATATCAATCTCCCGAATTTTTCCAAATACCTTAAAAGTAAAAGAAATAACAATAAAGATAATACTTGTAGGTGTTATTAACAAGGTTTTTTTTATTTATAAAGATAACACTTGTTTAATGGAATATTAATAAACAACCTAAAAACAATAAGATTGGAGTTGTATGCTAATTACACTACCATGTATGACAAATATGTACCACATGCGAAAATTAAGGCGATAACACTCAATAAAACTTCGCAACAATGTGAAGATTTATGCAGTAAATTATGAGCTATATGTATATATGTCTGAAATCTGATACAAAGGCGAGGTTCGAACATGTGACCCAATGGTTGAAGGTCAAATGCTAAAGTAAGAAACTACGAAATTGAAGTATTGACTGAAATTGTACTACCACATTATATTTAGGCGAAATTTGACTTTAGTTTTATAGTCAGTGACATTTTAATGAGAAAGAATGTAAATGTTATGAAAAAAGAAGAAAAATTACCATAAAAAACTTATACTTACTTCAAATGCTTCTTTTACAATCGAAGGATCAGGTTTTTCTTCGTCAACCAAAAGGGATAAATAGCTGCTGTTAGTGTCATCACTATTAACGCGGAATCGTGGTCTGTTGTGTGATCCACTCGCAAACCATCTGATAGGAAGACCAGTGAGTACAAGAGTGTCAGGCCTCTCACCAGATTTAGTCTCATCCATATTTTGAGCATCACGAAAAAACGCTTCCCAATCATGACGTCTTGGACAGTCATATGGAGCTTCACTTGCGCGAACACGAAGGTTTTGTGGAAATCCACTTAGCTTGATAAACTATAACGGATTGATGATAAATTTTAAATAAATATGTTCATGGAAAATCCTAGACAGTGTCAACAACTTATCCATGTTAAAAGGGAACCGGTAGAAATTAAGAAGTTATTTACCAAAAAAAATAAAAGGTAAGTGGTATTGAGTTAAACGAATAGTGATCAAAATAGTTATCAGTCAAGATTTAAAAACCAATGTACACTCCCATGTAGTGTTTATCAAAAGTTTTAGAATTATTTATGGAATACCCAGGTCTTTCGGTTACCCGAATGCCAAGATATTCGCAAATTGTATGTAGTATTTGTCCGAAAAATGTGAGAATTGGATATAAACAGCCAGTTTCTGTCTAAAAAAGTAAGCTGGAAATTGTAAACCGATGATATGAAGACACTATGTTATGTTCCCATTATCATATAAAAGTACAAGAGGTCAACTGATTACAGTCTTTAAATTACGTAGTGGTAACTTTCGATATGACATACCCTGTCACGTGACTGGTAACAATTAAGTCTAATAGGCAGGTTTAAACTCATTAGTGAGTGACCCACGAAACTGATTCCCTCCAATAACCTCTCATATTTAATCGTATTTATTTTTTTGTTCAGAATCAATACATAAGGATGATATTTCATTAGATAAAAACCTATTCTTCCGATTAGTGATCCGATCTTGTCAACAGCCATCACAGCGTTAACGGTACAATCGCATATCATCTATGGTCATCCATTTTAACAATCTAAAACTCGTCCATCCGACAAACTCCTCCATAATCCCTTCATTTTATTCGGCTCCCAGAACGGGACATTAATGAGGATACTGCGAAAAAATCCTGAACAAATAACCTGACTACCAACTTTCCTACTAAATTATCAGCAAGTGGAAATTTTTGTCTCGATGGATAGTTACAACTTCTTTAGTTATTAAAAAGTAGGTTGGGTAAACTGAGTGGAATTCACAACTAGGACTAACACAACCCTTCCACCCTTTTATCCTTTCTAAACTGAAACTAAAGACCAGTAAGTAATTTATCAGATCCGAGGTGGTCACTAAAATAATTCTCTAAGTACATATATCCAAATATTGTTCAGCAAAATGTTATTTTTGAGTAGAGATTAAGCGACCAAATGTATTAAGGACTATTTTTCTAATTGTTTCAGGATCAGAGGTCATGTGGGAAAAGATAGCAGTATGAAGAATGTTTACACTGCAACTACAGGCAAAGTACTCATAGTCATATAGAAGTATCTTGACTTAAGAAAAAATTGAATTTGAACTAATTTTGGATAACTTCACTGTTACTCGTTATCATGAACGTCATTTGTTGTTAAGGAAAGTACTTGCATAAACTTGCTAAATACTAATAACCACTATCGACCCAAAAAGCAAGACACTAAGTAAATGTAGTCTTTCCTTATTCGAGCGTGAGATTAATCAACTCTTGGAACGAGTATTTTAATTTCTTTTATACAAACCACTGTAGCTACATTCACTGATCGTATTAACATCTAACACCTGACATCCAAAAGAACTTAATACATAGAAGAATAGGTTTATTTAATGTTACACATCAATGAACAAGTTCAGAAAACAAATATATACATAAATACACCTGTGATACATATGGCAACCGTAATTTGTGGTTATGAACCACGGGTAGTATTTAGAATTGATTGCCGTAGCGTGGATGTAATTATTTCATACTTATTTGAGTCACTGGTTTCAATATTATTTTATAGATTTTATTTATCAACTTTATAGGTTTCAACAAGTTTTTACATCAATACATGTATTTAAGTGCAGAATGTTAAACAATTTTGTGTCAAGTTTCTCAGATAGAAAGCACATACCATCTTCGAAATGCTGAATTCAAAAGTTTAAGAAAAACCTAGGTTCAAACTGTTTTTAACTTTTTGCATTCAACTTGAATTGAGAAAGAGTACAAATTTAATGAATCCTTTAATCCACAAAAAGAAACTTGTGTAATATAAGGCACAACTGAGCAATTAAGCATCATAGTTTTACATCGGTTTCTAAACGTAATACATTTTGTTTAAAATGATTATAGTTGCAGCGGGATTACATGATAATTTAGCTTCTACAGACAACATAAATATATTTTACATATATTCATGAACACTCCTGACAATTAGCACCTAGAGTAACTGAAACTGTGGGATTCATTGCGATAAAAGCTTTATATAAGTACAATAAGGATTGCTACTAAATAAGCTGAGCAACTTCAGTCTTCCACAAAACAAGATTATCTAAAGAATTGAATTTATTTCTACTTACGCACAAATGCATAAGGCCCATGTAATCACATCTAATATTCGGTAGTGACGACAAATTTAAAAAAAGAGGAAGAAACCCTGATTGGCCTTAATGTATACAAAACCGTTCTTATGAAGTATGGTTACCTGACTTTCCAAACTTGTAACCACGCGCCTGACGTCGGTTTTGTTTTCCAAGTCAACAGCGAACCTAACAAATTCCAACGTAGTGTGAACTACTTTCATAACAGTGGATGGAGCAAGAATTCCAGGACATAGTTGCCGAATTTTTTCAATGATCTCCCATGTAGTAAACGACTTTAACTGGCCAGATGTATCATGAAGAAGAGGGATCTGAACTGTAATACACACCCGAGCTATGGGCTTTAAATACAAATTAAGAGTCGGGCAAAAATCAATTAAATCAGAGATTTTTGAAGGTTCAGACTTCTTTGGTACGGAAACACTCATACCTAAGCGACCTAGAAAATGAAAGTAGCGCGTTATCAGCCCACTATTAAGAATGGAAGTTCCAGTTACCCGTGTTGCCCTGTGAAGATCCTAACTTGCTTTGAAGATATAAAAAGAATAAATTAATAGTATTAATTTTCTTGAACGATGTCTTAGAGTTTCATCTCAGACTATCACTCCTGAATGTAAGAGATGGATAGAATATAATGGTGCCAAAATATTACTACGGTAGTACCAACAGTCCTTTACTGGTCGTTTTATACAGAAGCAGCTAGGCATCCTATATGATGTGTCTGATTTTTAGGATGAACTTCTTGTTTACGGAGAGACAATCCTTGTTACGTTTCTATAGTGAATGACCAATACGTTCAATGTCCAATTAAATATATTTTATATAGTGTTAAATCTATCACAAATACAACAATAGACATTGGCTTTGGGTACTAAAATTCGAGTTCTTATTTTTATTTTGTCAGGGTTCCACTCACACACATGAATCCCAAAACTTGGGGGAGGGAAGATCATTTAGAGTGTTTTGACGCCTAATTTATGCCACATAATCTTGAGGAAGATAAGATTTCAGCTCATTTTATCACATTTTGGGTAGGAATACCTATAGTTTGCTTTACAACCCTATGTATTCTGAAAAACCTATTCTATTTGTGTTCATCAAACTAAATAGATTTCTGACTGATAATTTTCAAGCGACATCATTGTAAACAAGTGTAAGATCATAAATCAACAAAATAGTTTGTGCTCTGAATCACGCTAACAAAGATTACATGCCAAAGCTTCAGACACAATCTTCCAAGTGCACCTCTGATAATCAGTATCCCATCCAACCCCTTGATCACTTGATCATTGGTATAAGTGATCTTAAACTGGGAGAGCATCTGGTGAGAATATTTTTTGGACTTTCAAATAACTCACGACTTTTGCTTTACTTATAAATTGTTTATTAATGATCCTCTTGACGCTGTTACCAAACAGCATAGTGGGTAATATCCATCCGTGCTTGGGTTGAAGGGCTAGACAAATTTGGGCGCTAGCATTTTCTAAGCACCCATTCTTCTGAAAACACTTCGATCAAATGTCTGATCTTACAAGATTCGAAAGCCGTGAGAGATATGAAAATTAACCCGGTACACTTAAACTAAAATGAAGGAGCCCATCCTCTCAAAACCTACATTAATTTCAAACGGTTTAAGGAAGACTGTAAGGAATAAGCTGTGTGAATATGTTGAGTTGTTCATTTGAACTACTCCTATTGTGACTGCAATAAAGGCGGATGAAAAACACCAAGAATTAGCTGACACTAAATATTCGGCTGTTGCAACATATTTGTACCACTGTAGAAAATGGAGATATTCTACATAGATTACGTCGGTCGAGGTGTTTTCTAAAATAGAGATGCATTATTGTAAATTCCATCGGACGATATCTCCAGTGAACCAACTACTATTAGTAAACCAGTCGAACTGTACAAAAGCAAACTGCTTTCATTCGGAAAAACCTTTCATCGGCGATATTCCAGTAGGTTATAGACCAGGTTATCATCGGACGTGGTGGTGTTGAATCGTATCAGGATGATATCGTGGTTCATGATGAAAATATTAAGGTGCATGAAAACATCGTTAAAGGTGATTCGAACGCATTCATGGCACAAACGAGGCCGTAAATCCATTAGATTGTCAGCTTGAATTTAATTCTATCAACTGCCTATGTTTACTGTAGACGCTGTAAGTATTAAATCTGGTGTGAGTCGGGTAACTCAGTTGACTCAAGTACAGTTGCCTATGAATATCTCAGCACTCAGGTCGTGGGTGGATGTCATTTAATTTTACTTAAGGTTTATTCTTAACTTACATAGTTTTTATATCTACCCTTTGACCAGGTTCCGAATGAAAACATTTTATGGGAATGACTTTGAGATGGTGGAGAAGATTTGTATCTCAGGTGGATGATTTTTGTTGAGTTTCGTTCCTTGAGCTGGATGGTTTGGTCGTGGAGCTTTCATCGTTCTTCTGAACGACATCATCAGCACAAACTTCAAATAGAAGTGAAGTGTTTGAATTTCTCCATATGTGTTTCAAAGCTTGTTCTGTGCACCTCGATGTTGATTGGTTCTTATTGACCTTAAATTTTTCATTGTTTACTTCTTTGTTTTGGTTGTGTCTCCCACTGTTTTGATTTTTGTTTCTATGTTTGTGCATGATTTTTCTGATTGGTTGATAAATTGGGCTGATTTCAATATACTTGTTGATTGCTGATTGACCTGAGTGCCAGGCTTCTAGAAATTTTCTGGTATTTTTGGAGTTTCCTCTGTCTAAGATTTCCACATTTTTCCAAACGAATGAGTTTCCGCAGTTGTCTACGTGTATTGATATAAGTGAGGAGATATCATGCCATTTGAATGCTAATTGATGTTCATGTAGGCGCATGTGAAGGGGGCGTCCGCAAGCAGCATTAGAACTCAAGTCAAGCACAAAAATCAACAAAAGGATCACCCTACCATGTATGCAAGGAATATCAGAAATCGAATGAAGACTGCTGAAAACCTTCGGAATAGGTGTAGCACACAAACCAACAAAATCACTACAATTAATCCTATGCAAACCAAAAGATGAAATAACAAAGGAAAACAATTCAAACATCATCTATAAAATAAATTGTGCCAACTGCGAAAAACACTACATCGGACAAAGCGGACGCCCCTTTCACCTGCGCCTACATGAACATCAATTAGCATTCAAATGGCATGATATCTCCTCACTTATATCAATACACGTAGACAACTGCGGAAACTCATTCGTTTGGAAAAATGTGGAAATCTTAGACAGAGGAAACTCCAAAAATACCAGAAAATTTCTAGAAGCCTGGCACTCAGGTCAATCAGCAATCAACAAGTATATTGAAATCAGCCCAATTTATCAACCAATCAGAAAAATCATGCACAAACATAGAAACAAAAATCAAAACAGTGGGAGACACAACCAAAACAAAGAAGTAAACAATGAAAAATTTAAGGTCAATAAGAACCAATCAACATCGAGGTGCACAGAACAAGCTTTGAAACACATATGGAGAAATTCAAACACTTCACTTCTATTTGAAGTTTGTGCTGATGATGTCGTTCAGAAGAACGATGAAAGCTCCACGACCAAACCATCCTGCTCAGAGAACAAAAATCCACCAAGATATGAGAATGACTACACAGGGTTACAATAAGAGAATTTCGCAATTCTTAAATAGTTGGACTTTTACTGCTAGCATTCATCCAGCGTTTTATACTTGGAAGGAGCTGGAAAACTGGTCATAAAAGGTTTCTACTGAGATCATAGGGCCAGACAATTTAAGCATCCGGTAACACTTTAAACACACGAACCTACAGCATTCATTGTAGAATGAAAAGAACTATAATACCTAAGCAAAATAAGGTCAATAAATTCTTGATCTATAATGTTGTTCCGCCTACTTTTCCTCTGTTCCACTCTAATGGAAATGTCGGTTTGATTGACCTATTAGATAAACAAATGTCAGTTTGGTTTGACAATAATAACAATAATTCATTCTCAAACTAGTCTGTTACACGAAGCATGCCACTTCACAGGCAAGATCGAATAGTTACAGAAGATACAGTCTTTGCTGTTGTGTGTTACTCAGTTAGGTTAATCTGTCATAAGATACACTGATTTCAGAATTATAGTAGATAAGACTTTTCACATCTAAATTTATATAACACTAGTAAGACATGTATATGACAGTTAGCGCGTTTTATGGAGGTTGCAGTGCGACGTGCCACTGATGGTCGAACGTAAATCCACGTACACTAGAAAGCTTCTAGAAATCATACCCCACGTTTTTGTGGAACAGCTATAACATTAGTGATGGCGCGGGACGTATTCGCCAGTTACACATATGTTTTCGGTAGCCATTCTCAAGGGGGCTGAATAGTAGAGCAAGAAAAAAAGGAAGGAAGCTAACAGGAGGAGAGCAGAAAATCTTCATGCATTTTGAAATGAAAAAATTTTAAAGGAAGAGTCAAGATACCATTACCCATTAAAATTCACATATTCAGATACAATTTAACGACGAGCATAAAATGTTATTATTATAACGTTAAAGTCAAAAGTATTAGAGTTGCAAGATAGGGTTTATAGGTTTCGAGGTGAAAAATACCACAGCTAGGTGTCAGAGTTTAGGGGCATCTAGGTAAAGCCTTATGAATCGTGGGGTTAGGAGTTGTGGTCATGTGTGTTACAAAGTCGTAGTTTCCAGACTAACTTGTGCACAGTTAAACCTAATACGTTTGTTGATCATATGAAAACCCTCAATTCCCTGCGATTTTATCATTGTCTTATATTTTACAAATTTCACAAAAGCTGAATGATGGTTGAAATTTCTGAGTGATTATTCTTAATGTAACCCTAAGAATCGCTTACGACAATCGATATGGAGTGCTTCTGGCGAAATTTTCTGAGAATATTGGATGGAATCTAAACTATGAAATACAAGGTGTGGGTGAAGGAAAATTTATACTGAAGATATAGTGAAAAGTAGAATAAGTGTTAATAAGCCATCAACTAGTTAAGTTAAGTGCTCAATTTTTACCCATTACAGTCTTCAGTAATAAGAATAGTAGGTTGGTGAACCTGTATTAATCCTGACACATTGCTTTCCAGCGAAGGTCCAGCTTCTCAACATAAAAGCATGACTAAATACATCCATGCAGACACAATGTGATAAAAGCATAATGAAGTGCATCTTAGAAGATAGGAGAAAAAGAGATAACATGTTATGTCTAAAATCATTTCTTAGTATTCTGTACATCGAAATTGGATCTCGCCTTAGTCTGCGATAGGACAGAATGAAGAGGTCTAGCTTTTCAAGCCGCTCAATTTTTAATAAACTCCAGAGTTTTGGAACTGCACAGATAGCTGCCCTCTGTACTTTTCCTAGTGAAGATGGCACAGCTATTCAGTGTTTGACAACGCTTTTACTAGCAACACCTTCTAATATCATTTGTACACACCAAGA